TAGTTCCATGTTAGCTAGATCTAATTAAATCTGTAATTTTACTTCTTCTTTTCAAATTTGTTAGAGGTTATTTGAACGTTTTATGGCTTCTATATCACTGAATTTCATATCAGTCGGTGTGGCCCATCAATTCTGGATACACGTATTTTCTAAACATTTTTTAAATTATAGCAACGGTATATTTTCAATTATTATTGTTTTTTAGCTAGCCGAAGAGAACAAAATGGTCATAATTTCGACGATATTAGAAAGAGATGAGAATCTGGAAGATAGGATATGGAATACAGCCGTCGTGATAGATAATCATGGGAACTATTTGGGAAAGCATAGGCGAAATCACATACCAAAAATTGATAACCCTAATGAACCTACGTACTTTTGTGAGGGAAATACCGACCACCCTGTTTTCCAGGTAGGGCTCATTTTTGAAAAAATAGTATCCGTAAAACAGCAATTTTATTAAAAAGAAAATTAACTTGAATGTTATCTGCAGACAGACTATGGTAGAATTGGCGTTAGCATATGCTACGAGAGACATTTTCCTCTAAACTGGCTTGGCTATGCATTGAATGGGGCACAGATAGTATTCAATCCATGTGCAACGGTAAGTAGTTTAACCACCTCCTTTCACCCTCGGCCCCCAGGGTCATTCCCTTAAGAATTTTAAATGACAAGGGGTATCGAGTAATAGCTTGTTTGAAAGGTCTTTCGAAGTTCGTTATTTTGACGTTTGATTTTTCAAAATCAGTTGATTCAGTTTCGAGAAAATTAGAAAAATCTTTATTCATCTTAATTTGTTCAGATAGAAAACAAAAACACACGAAAATATCACTTTTTGTTTCAATAAGTGTTCAAAATGTTGCCCATTAGGATTTACCAAATCTACAATTCGTTTATAATTTAAAACGGAAACTACCAACATAAACAGCAATTCGGAAGATTAGACGTGGAAACAACCAAATAACAACCCGAATTTTTTCCGCGTTCTTTTCATCAAGACAGATATTCTGGGCACACTGAATTTAATGTTATTGGTTAGTTATTTGATCCCACAACATGTTTTTGAAAACGTCACATTTTGAACACTAATTGAAACAAAAAGTGATATTTTAGTGTGTTTTTGATTTCTATCTGAACGAATTGAGATAAATAAAGATTTTTCTATTTAAAAAAAACGAATTGACCGATTTTAAAAATCAAACGTCAAAATAAGAGACTTTCAAACAAGCTATTACTCGATACCCCTTGTCATTTAAAATTTTCGATAAATCCGTGGTGGGAAGTTTGCAAATGAACACCCTGTATATTATATAGATAGGAGACCAAATGGAAACACTATGGCCGATAGAAGCTAGAAACGCAGCTATTGCCAATGGATACTACGTATGTGCCATAAATAGAGTAGGCACTGAAATATACGAACATGAATTTGAAACAGACGAGGGCGTGGTTCTTCATAAAGATTCTGGAAGCTTCTTTGGATCCAGCTACATTGCTGCACCGAATGGAACCAGATCTCCAGTGAGTATCATTGATATGTTTGAGTTACATGAATTATTATATATATTAATAATTTAGTGGTATATCAGACTTCCTATTTAAGCGTCAGAGTGTGTGGCCAGCTTTAACTTTGGTAAGAATAGGTACCTTTACATTTACACTCTTTCCTGCGGGATTGGAACGCCCCGTTCCAATCACGCGAATTCTCGCGCGTCCAAGCGTGGCGCGTCCTAATACGAACTGTCTTAAAAATTACAACTGCTTATCGCACGGTTTGAGTGTGTGTCGTGGAACGGTATAGGATAAAAGTGCAAATGTAAATCAAAAACTGTCATCTTTCGCGAGTGATATTCGTGGCATGTGGAGTCTTGAAATTTTCAACAGTTTTCAAGGCGGTTTTTATCTTCATAATGGATAAAATAATTAAGAAACGGAAAATAAGAGCAGCTTTGTGCTTGGCTGTGTATCTAAATATTCCAAATAAGAGACAAAGAAAGTGTTGGGTGAAAACATGGTTGGAAAATCGCAACAGATATGGACATTTGCCTCTGCTTCATGAGTTGCGTGATAATTATCCCATGGATTTTAGAAACTATTTGAGAATGGATTCTGAATCATTTAGAATTTTGTTGGATTTGGTTTCTCCAATGATTTCTAAACAAGACACAAGATTGCGGGAGAGCATAAGTGCCGAAGAAAGACTAACAACTACTTTGAGATACTTAGCTACAGGTCGTTCGCTTGAAGATTTGAAATTTTCAAGTGGAATATCTGCACCATCTTTATGTAAAATTATACCTGAGACATGTAAAGCTATATATGAAGTATTAAGGAAAACATATTTAAAGGTAAGATTACTTGTTTTATTGAAATAAACTTCTTGTGATAACAAAACTTGAATATAAAGTAAAAAATTAATTACTAAAATCCTGACTAGCTTGCTCATAGTAAGCTGTTATACTTGCTGAATCTAAAGCATGTAATTGAGATGTTCTTTCTGGACGATGTAATGAAGAATTTGATGAAGCAACACTATATGGGCTAGGCGGTGAGAAAAGTGGAAGTGGAACTGGTGATTGTTGCATAATTATCGTTGTCTCGGTTAATTGGTTTAATAATCCTTTATTTACAACTTGATTGATAAGCATATCTGCATAAATAGCCTAAGTTGGATTCATCTTTTTAATTTTTTTCGCCCACGAAATTGCGGCTGCATCAAATTCATCAGTTTCATTTTTGCTTTCAAGCTGATTCTTGCAGTAATTCATGAAGTCTGTTTGGGTCTTATTTTGTTTAGAAGTCTTACTTCTTTTATTTGAGGCAGGCTTGAAGGCAGTTGGACTTGTTGGACGTGCATGAGATGTTGAAGGCACTTGTGATGAAACACTTGCAGATTTCTAAAAAAAAATATTATTTTAGTTTCCATCTACGCAGCAGGATTGGCTGGAAGTAGCAAATGGATTTGAACAAAAATGGCAATTTATAAACTGTGGAGGAGCTCTGGATGGCACGCATATTCGTATTGTACCTCCTCCTCATTCAGGAGCACAATACTATAACTATAAAAATTTTTATAGTATCATTTTAATGGCTCTCGTCAATGCTGACTACGAATTTATTTTTGTCGATGTAGGCAAAAATGGAAGATTATCTGATGGAGGAGTAATTGAAAGCACCAAATTTTATCATAAGTTAATTCATGGTAAGTTGTTATACTTGTATATATGTAATTATGAATAATATAATTTTGTGGTTTTAGGCCAGTTACATCTGCCAAATAACACAGACACAGAAAATAATTTCAATTTTGTATTTTTGGGCGATGAAGCATTTTCTTTACATGAAAACTTTTTAAAACCGTATCCTCAAAAAGATCTTTCTTATAGTAAAAGAATTTTTAACTATAGACTATCACGAGCGAGAAATGTTTCGGAAAATGCATTTGGCCTGATAGCGGCAAGGTTTAGAATTCTGCATGCACCAATACATATGAAGAACCCGGAAAACATCTGTTACGTTGTACTTGCTATTTGTTCTCTTCACAATTTTCTTAGGAAGCGTGATACTTCTTATACAACATCAACATCATTTGATCAAGAAAATTTGATAACTAAAGAGTTACAGGTGGGTGATTGGAGAAAAAATGCCGTTAATATGACAAAATTAGAAAGTCGTAACAAAAAAGTAGCTACCATAGCTGCGAAAACTAGTCGAGATAATTATACAAGTTATTTCAATTCAGATGGAAAAGTTGATTGGCAGGATGAAATGTTGGCCAAAGGAAAAGCTTAATGTATATTTTTGTTTTTAATAAATAAGTACCTAAAAAACTTACTTGTGTATTATTTACTTCTGTTTTCTCTTGAAATTCAACTTCTTCTTCAGTAGAGTGGTTGGAATTTTCTGTTCCTTCATCTTCCATGTTACAAATGCTTTGCGTGGGTATTTCCTGATCAATAGTAAACTGGAGTAAGTCGAAATACCATAATGTGGGAGTATAAATTTCATCTGTACTAGCTCCACTTCGCTTGGATTCCTCTATCTTTTTTAATTCCTTCCGAAAAGAACCACGAAAACTTTGTATTTTCTTCACAACATAATCTCGATTTGCTTCTGGATGTAATTTTGTACAAAACTCGACTAATTTGTCGTAAGCAGCATTTTTCAAATTTCTGTTTGTATATTCTCGGGATTTGATTTTCCATAAGCATGGATAAGATTTATATATTTCAATAAACTCTGAAACAACTTCTTTCGACCAATATCGTGTATCTGCCATATTATCTACCTAACAATTAAAATAATTGAAACTTTGTATATGTATATACAATAAAATACTTACCCACGCTAGAACACAATTTACGCACAATTGCCCGCGCGAAACTAAAATGTAATCAAACGTCTTACCTGCACGAAAATCACTAGCGACGAAAATGCGAGTTTGAACACGTCTAAAAACCGAGCGATTATTTCTCATTTACACTGGCATGCTTTCGCACACGATTGGAACGGGGCGTTCCAGTCCCGCAGGAAAGAGTGTAAATGTAAAGGTACCTAATGCTCACATGATAAAGCGTCACATCATTTGAAAATTTGGTAAATTATACCAATATGATGCTCGACAAGGGTTAAGTCAAAAGTATATCGATGATATTTTGAACTCTTCCGCCAGATTTTCAACTATTCGATCGAAAACTGATACATACTCAATTTTCATTTTAGGGTTTATCAAGAACAAAGAATGGACTACTTGTATGCGATATAGATCTCAATATGTGTAGGCAGATCAAAGATGACAGAGGATATGGGGTAAATTATGGGATTGTTTTTGGAGCTATTGAAATATATTTATCCACCTTTTACTTTCAGGCTTTCGAAAGGTCCGTGTTGTACAGTGATGTCATAAAAGAAGCGGCCAATTCGCACAAGAGTCAAATAATTACAAAATATTGAACTGTTGTTATTACTTTTATAATAAATATAGTAAAAAGCAACACCCATTTCTTTAATTTCCTTTATTTCATTGCAAGGGTTTAATATCTTTAACAGTCATTCTAATTTTGGAAAATGAGACATGGGAAGCAACAGTACATTAATGCCAGTACAAAAAAACGTAATTTCAAACAAAAAGAGGACTTATGAATAATATAAATATATACAATTAGAAAATACAATCAATTACAATGTGGAAAATGGTTTACATGCTTTTCGAATAATGTGAGGAACGAAATCTGGCTTAGTCGCTTTGGACAGACATTCTGCATATATGTCCAGTCTTTGGGCCATCTGTAACAAAATATTTCAATTTAGTTATAAAATATCTTAAACTCATCAATTATGATCCTAAAGATACTCACTTGGAAACCCCATTGATCCTTGACCTGTCTGCATAAGTTCAAATCCATTTCCGCGATTAGTAAACCGTTTTTAGTCCTGGACAAGCCCTGAAACAAAAGGATATAGCTTAATCCTAAAAATATTTCCAGCTAAGAGATATTATAAGCTGGGATCCCCCCTTGGAGACCGTAGTCATATGAAGAAACATGTCTAGCTATCGATAATGAAACTCACAGGTGATCTAGTTCCATTTGGAGCAGTAACGAAACTAGACCCATAAAAATATTCACTTTCTCTATGGGGCTGCTTTCCATCTCCAGTACTAAATTCATTCTCAAAGACCTCAATCCCAACCCTATTGACAGCACAAGTGAAATAATTGTTGGTTAAGGCTGCATTCCTTGACTCAATGCTCCATAATGGTTCGCTCGTAACACCGGCCTGAAAAAACATGTTATATAAGTAATAATACGTATCCAGGGCGTAAAGTGGGGGCTTATGGCCCGCGGTATGTAACTGTAAGCTAAGGATTTCCGCCCCAATATGGTCTCTTTATAGATAATTTTTGACGAGAAGTTAGTATTTTACTTACGGCGGCTGCTGGGCAAAAAACGAGTTCTGCGCCATTTAAGCCGAAGACCAGCCAGTCCAAAGGATGGTGACGGCCAAAGCAGACAGCTATTTTTCCAAATTCAGTCTGCAAAAAATTATAATCAAGAAGTAGGTTACAGCTATTTATGTACATGGAAACTATTTATCATATTACAACGACGTCTCCTTCAGGGGCCTGTTTCTCCGGAATCAAGAGGTATTTCGCAAATCGAAAGGATGAAATATGTACAATAGTTTCGGAATAGTGACAAGAGTCACCGACTGAGTTCTTGTCCCATGCTGGAGAAACATTCTGTACATGACTAAACTAAGACAATAACATCATGCCTGAGTTACATACAAAAAGCGTCAAAAAAGTATAATAGTATAATATGTACTATGCTTATGAGCTGATAGATAGCAATCTCCTTTAAATCAAATGAAACCGCTTTTCTTGGCCCGTAAAAAAGTATTTTTATCAAATTTGCTCACAGCGATAAAGGCGCGCCCCAAAAGTTTTTTCTTATATCCCTGTCCTAGTGTCCTAATTTTCAAATAACTACCTTAATCATAGAACACATGGATGTCCAATTTCCAATAATGCACTAATGGACCTGCAGTGCTGCCAAGCCGAAAAACGAAGAATCACTATTTCATTTATATTTGCGTCAAGCTGGACGTAGAGGCAACCAGATTTACGTAACCCTCTGATTTCCACGCCATCTTCGATGAGCTTATAAATTGATCAGGATTGCCAGGTGTGGTGACTTGTGATAAAAAAAAAAAGATTCTCAAGAAATACTTGACCAATCGACTCAAATTTTGTTGTCGTTATTTAGAAGTACGAAGCCTACAAATTTAAAGAATTTCAAGTATCTGCGTGAAGCTATCGTCGCATTACCAACAAATGCTAAAACCTGCATCTTGCCCCGGTTTTCGACCATTACTTTTTTACTATTAGTCGGATCTTTTCAAGTGTGATCTCATTCTGTGGGTCTCATAAATATACTAAGTGACATATAAATCCGAACACCCAGTTTAAATGGTTTTATTTTAATAAAAGTCGGTGAATGTATTTATCTTACTGTAAATAACCAGTGAAAAAATTTTCAGCATTATCAGTTGGACATTCCGGTTTTTATACTGCTTTTTTTTAATTCAATAACGCTCTAAAAATGAATATTTCAGCCGCAGTAAAGAATCAACGTTGGCGGATTTTGGTTCTTGACATCCTTTACGATCGGTTACGATGCCTAGAGTACGGAGACCTGTACGATTTCGTCAACTTAGTGAATTTGATAGGGGCCGTATAGTGGGACTTCGGAAAGCTGGACTTTCTTTGGCAATTACAGTTAGAGTGCAAAGAAGTGTAGACACTGTGGTTAGGTGTTGTCAGGCATGGCTTCGAGACGGCCGTACGCAAAGAGCAAGGGGCACTGGACGCCGCCGTAGAACAACAGACCGTGAAGATCGCCGCCTAAGATTATTGGCCTTAAGGGACCGTTTCTCCACTACCAGGTCCATTGCAAATGAATGGTTTGCAGAACACGGAAGACCTATTGACATTCGAAGTGGTTACCGACGAATGAGAAGTTTTGGCTTGTTTTCATACCGGCCACACTGGATCCTCCCTTTAACTCGAGAACCCCGACCTAATCGCCTTGAGTGGTGCAGACAACGGTCACTCTGGGATCAGGAATGGAACAGTATTGTCTTTAGTGACGAGTCTCGATTTTGTTTAGGCATGCACGATGGTCGTGCCAGGGTTAGAAGGCGACGTGGTGAAAGGAGGAATCCACAGTTTTTTGTTGAAAGACATGTTCATCACACTGTTGGAGTTATGGTTTGGGGTGCTATAGCTTATGGTTCCAGGTCACCTTTAATCTTCATCAGAGGTAACATGAACGTGCAGCGTTATATCCACGAAGTTCTAGAACCCCATCTTTTACCCTATCTTGACACCCTGGCAGATCCAACTTTCCAACAAGATAATGCCCGACCACATGTTGCAAGAGTCACAATAGACTTCTTTCAACATAATGATGTCACATTGTTACCATGGCCACCAAGATCTCCCGACTTATCCCCAATTGAGCACGTGTGGGATATGATGGGTAGGAGATTGCTCAATTTGCAACGTCCTCCTCAGACTCGAGAAGCACTTCGAGAGGAGTTGGTGGTTGCCTGGAATGAGATACCACAGGAGGTCATTGACCACCTGATCAGAAGCATGCCTAGGCGCGTTGGAGAATGCGTAGCACATCATGGTGCATCCACACATTATTAAAGGTCAAAGGGCTTTAAAGCAGTGCAATCATTTTGAAATTTTTATCATTTACTTATTATGGTTCATTAAGTACTTATACAAAATTTTATTAAAAAAAAACATTTAAACTGGCTGTTCAGATTTATATGTCACTTAGTATATCTAAAAATCTTATTTGAAGAGTTTTTGCATTGCTGCCAACACTTTTGATTGAATCCCAAAAAACATGTTTTCTCATTCCTTGTTGTCGAATAAGAAGTTTTCCCACAAAAAGTGGTGTACCCATTTTATGCGTCAATGATTTAAATACCCCCTTGAATAACTTGCATCAATAAAACCAGACTTTACAATTATCTCACAAAGCAGGGATATTTACGTCTACGATTGGACTATTGATAAATAGAAAGCGAAAACGTAAGAGAATCTCGCCGAAGATCATCAATCACATCTCGTAAGAACAAGTTAACATTGTGACGAAATATTTATTGATATGGTGAGTCTAGCAATATACGAGGGCGGTCCGATAAGTACATAGTCCCACCACCCAATGGCGCCACTGTCGCAAGGGAAATTTACTATCTACTTCGATGGCAACTGCCAGAAACTGGTGTAACGAGTAACATGGTCGCTCGTCGGTTTGATTACCCATGCCTAGGTGCTCCAAAAACAGCTACCAAGGAGGATAACGTAACAAAAATCCACGGTCTCTTACTGGCAGACTGCCGATCAAATGTGTGCGATATAGCTGTGACAGTAGGCATCTCAAAAGACCGCGTGGGTTATATCCTGCATGAAATATTGGGCATGAGAAAGGTGTTTGTGCGATGGGTGCCGTGTTTGGTCACTCCGGACAACAAGCGCAAGCGTGAGACTACTTCAGAGCAGTGTCTGACGCCGTTCAAGCACAATCCGAAGGAGTTTCTGCGTGGTTTCGTGACCGTCGACGAAACATGGATACAGTGGTACACACCAAAGGCCAAGGAGCAGTCGAAACAGTGGATTTCAGCTCGACTGGAAAGGTGATGGCCACCGTTTTCTGGGGTTTACACGTGTGTGATCTACACCGACTACCTGGAGAACGACAAAACGGTGACACTATGCCAAACAGTTGGACCGATTCAACGCCGAATTGCAGAAAAACCGGCCCCATTTGGCAAAGAAAAAACTGTTCTTCCACCATGATAACGCATCGGTTCATACCTCCGCCGTCGCCCCGGACAAATTGGTCGAATAAGGCTACGAACTGCTGCCCCATCCACCGTATTCTCCTGGTTTGGCACCGTGCGACTTCTTTTTGTTCCCAAACTTGAAAAAGCCACTCGCCGGTCAGAAATTTGAGTCGAATGAGGAGGTTATCGCTGTCACGGAGACCTATTTTGCAGACCTCCAGAAAATGTATTTTTCGAACAGGTTGAAGAAGTTGGAGCATCGCTGGGTCAAGTGTATCGAGCTGAGAGGAGTCTACGTTGAGAAAAAGATCGCTACTTTTTCAAAATTTTCGTTTTTCTTTGTATGCTAAGTACTTATCGGACCGGCCTCCTAGAATTCTGCCAAAAGTCGATGCATTTCCAAACTCATTTGATTAACATCAATTGCTGTCTGAAACGGCCTGCAAAAGTAAAAGAATCACGCCCACTTTCTATTGGTTATTCTATTATCTCATTTTCGAGAATTGACCTTCTGGGGGCATGGAGAGGTATACCATATTGTGGATTTTCCGGCTGCCAGGCTATAGCTATATGGTACAACTACTTTTTATTTATGCTAAGGTCTAAGGTATGTACTATAGCTTACGAGACGCCGACGCGTGTTCTTGATATCGTGGAGAATCGCCAGTATTCGTGTCGGAAGGAAAATCCTCTTCCATGAGTATATGGTCCTTGAAAAAATTATAGACTCATTACGACGTACATGAGATTCTTAACCCCCACAAATGAAACTCAACAGCGGTCATCGGTCAGCGGGCGAAGTACCTGTTCAGGATCGCACTTCACCTATGTAATATATTTTAAATTGGGTATTAAGCTTTTGAGGTATCTTTTGACGAACTGTGTGTTATCATCACAATCAGAAAACTATTCTTGGCACTAGCTAGGAAACATTTTTATAACTGAATCACTACTATAGGGTGGTGCATGAAAAGAAGAAAACTGGAGCTACTACTGATCCAAAGTTTAATTTGAAGGGACGAAAGGCCGTTAAATTGGATGACGATAGCAAAATGGCGTTAAAGCGAACCGTACATTCATTCTTCTTTAGGAATGAGATACCAACCCTCAAGGCTGCACATGCAGCGATCAAGGAAAATGAAATTATACCCCAAATGAGCGTCGAGGTAATGAGGAAATCCCTGCACGAAATTAATTTTCGTTACGAAACGCGTAATCGGAAGTCAGTATTGATAGAGAGACCTGAAATAGTCGCCTGGCGTCGAAAATACCTACGCGAAATGATTGAATATAGGCGACAAAGCAGAAAAATCTATTATTTGGACGAGACATGGGTAAATGCAGGTCACACAGTTAAAAAAACCTGGATAGACAAAAACGTAGTGAGTAACCGACAAGCAAGCATTGAAGGTTTGTCAACAGGTCTTCGTGGACCGTCAGGGAAAGGTCAAAGATTGATCGTAACTCATATTGGTAGCGATAGTGGCTTTTTAGAAGAGTGTGACTTGATTTTCGTCTCTAAGAAAGGAGGTGATTACCATGACGAAATGAATGCCAGCTGCTTCGAGAGCTGGTTTCAAGGGGTGCTTCAGCGAGTTGAGCCCAACTCTGTGATCGTCATGGATAATGCTTCCTACCATAGTCGTCGAGCCGAACGTGTACCGACTATGGGATCTCGAAAAAGTGACATGCAGCAATGGTTGCGCGAAAAAGGAATCCCGTTTGACGATTCATGTGTGAAAGCGGAATTGTATGAAAAAATTAAACAGCACAAACCTGCGAACATTACTTACGTGACTGATGAGATGGCCCGTCAATGTGGTGTCACTGTGCTGCGGTTACCGCCCTACCACTGTGAACTGAACCCAATAGAGCTCATCTGGGCTCAAGTGAAGGGTTATATTGCGCGCCATAACACAACCTTCAAATTACCAGACGTTAAGGTTTTACTTGAGACTTCCATACAGCTAGTAACGCCCGAAGCTTGGCAGAATGCTATCCGTCATGTTGTGAAGGAAGAAACAAAAATGTGGCAGCTTGACCTCCACATCGACACCATCATAGAGCCAGTTATAGTCAATTTCAACGGGGAAAGCGATAGCGACAGTTTATTACTGTCAGATGTAAGTGGAAGCGACGATGAATAAAGGTAATTCCCAAATGTTTGACTTACAATATGTTTCAAACCACTCTTTATTAAGCATGTGACAAATCTAGTTCACCCATGTTAAACATTCATACCCCGCCTATGAACAGCCGACTACTGGTAGTTAAATGATGTTCACGTGAACATCGATGAGTCATTACAGTTTTAGATAGTTATAGTATAGGATATATGTATTCTAGTCCAGGCCTGTGCATTTCTCGGCACGTTTTATTTGCAGGTACCTTGACTCCAAACACTCGACGACTTGACTGCTATTCGGAAGGACTGTAAGGGATTAAGAGGCTCATCAAAAACTCAACTGAATATCGTGACAAGTCTCAAGTTTTTGAACGATCCGTTACCATTTCAGGTTGATACACTCAATCTATACCTCGAAAACAGGATGACCAGTATTTCCTTCAACATAATAGATAGGCTCACTGAAATCCGCTGATCTTGGGATGTGATTTTTGCGATGCTTTCCCAAATAATCTCCGTGATTGTCTATGACTACAGCTGTGTTCCATACTGAGTCATTGTGAATTTCATCTCTTTCCAGTATAGGTGAAATGATGACCATGTTGTGGATAGATGCTAGCTAAAAGAAATCCATTATTATGGCTAAAGTCTATTCGAATTTGCTTACAGTATTTACCTCCTGCAACATCTTTGTAGTAGGTCCAAATTGCGCGTTTTCAGCGTATTCACACCAGGGCGTTTTTTCACGGGTACAAAATGCGTAAGGCATATCTACAAAAAGGTTATACTATATACCAGACAAATTTTCTTTCATTGTGAAAAACATCATAAAAGTCTCTTCACGGTTATTGGCGGTTACGTTATAGTTTCAATCGGAATGAGTAAAAAGATTGAGTCTCAGGATTGAGTAACTGTGCCATATGTGGAGCGTAAGTCTTGTACACACATGACTTAAGTGTCCTCATTCATTTTATGGAAATACTCCAATAAGTTAAACACATTTTGGTTGACAGTGTATAATATTTCTATCTCTAGGCACTGCTTTATTCCATATTGCAGATCAACAAATGATAAAATCAAATCGCCCGGTTAGGGCTGGCTTCAGAATTTTGTGCGCCCTGAGGGAAATTAGTTGAGAATTTTGCGTTCCCATGACACAGCTCCCTGAGGTCGCTGATGCTTCACTTGTTTACCGCCTGTAGCCGACCCTGAGGACACTCCTGGCAAGCAAGGTGTAACATATTGACAATGACAAAAAATAAGGGCGTGGTGTGGAAAACATAGATCTATGGTTCACATAAATGTCCGCACAAAGGCCGACTGTATATGTAAGGGAGATGGATGTATAAAATTAATTTCTGTACTTTAGTGTTACTCTTCAAAACTATATGGAATGTAATAAGTTTCCATCTCTAATCGTGAAAAGCATTGACGACCCGCGGGTCTACTATCTTGGAAGATAAGTCATCTCTTCCAAGTGTTTTGAAGGACTCAAAACATCAAAATACACTTCTTTCAAGAAAATAGAATGGCAGATCCTGTAAATCCTTGATGGTTAAGCTACTTACTCCATGTTTCAGGAAAACAAAATATATTAACACCAGCTCTTGCGGCTATTCTGATAGCTTTGTTAGCGAACTTAAAAAGGGCGTATTTCATTTCTTGAATTGGGGTGGTAGTAGGAAACGGCACAAGTTTGTGCTGGAACAAAGCAATCCTCACGACTTTAGGGCTTCTTAGTTGTTCTTCCTTACAATTGAAGCCGCAAGAAATCAGTTCTATGTTGTATTTAGAAGCCATTTCTTTGCTCTCTTCGGGAATCGAGATTTCACTGGAATTAAAATTAATTGTTATTCAAAAAAGCCGTTATGGCAAAACATCTAGAGCTAAAGAATGTAAGACACATAAGAAAAACGCAACTGTTAATCGAAAAATGGCGTCATCAATTCATCCTGTATTATGTACGTCACAAGATAGCTCATCTGAGGGACAAGTTAGCTACGAGCATGTAAGTGGTCCATAGCCACCCACCCGTTTGCTGATCCTGCAATCTAGAAAGTTCTTCCCAGATGCCCTACCAGTATTGACCATCTGGCAATGCTGTTGAACCACGACAGCTAGTCATGAGCCAGTGGTGAGCGGTCGGACGCCGATATAGTTGTTTTGCAAATATTTCTGCAAATGTAAGGGGGATACCTACATGATGTGTGAAATATTTACTAAAAGGTACGTAGAATTACTGAGGTTGGGATCGTGTGAATATAGTACTTTCAAAGAACTCAGATATACCCTCCCCCATCCCTTACAACCACAACCTCCAACCCCAAACTGTATCTCTGTTCTAAGAGGCGCTAAAAAGCTTAAGAGGCAACACGATATGAGAGGTACAAGCGATAACAGAGAGTGATGGGAGGCTAGTTATGGACGAGAAGCTTGTTATGGACAGATGGAAAGAATATTTCGAGAATCTTTTAAGCCCTGCAGCTACAAATCTGCAGTATAAGCCTTGTTGCAAGGCTGACCAAAACAACAATCAATATGAAGATGTTATAACAATAGAAGACCTTGAATATGCGATCAAGAAACTGAAAGGATGAAAATCTCCAGGGATAGACAAAATAACGGCTGAGATGATCATGTGTACGTAAGGGGAAACTAGGAAAGGAAACACTACTACGGCTATATAAAGAAGTGTGGGCAAACGAAGCGATATATTACGAATGGACCATTGGTATGATATTACCAATTTATAAAAGAGAGGACAAAAAGGAATCTAACATTACTGTCATCTGTTATATGAGCAGACTAGAATTTAAATTAAGAAACTTAATAGAACCAACATTATCAGAATCGCAGAGTGGACTTAGGAAAGCAAGAAGTACCCAAGACCACTTATTTACGGTTAAAAATATTATCGGCAAAACATTAGTACGAAATGGAAAAGTATACATGGGGAATTAGAGAAAGCTTTCGACTCCTTACCAAGCACATTTGAAACATATTCTGGAGAAAAGAGGAATGACATGGAGAAGTGCTCAAATGTTGGCGCTGGACAAAAGACAGTGGAGCAAGTGGATGTATAGAAGATAATAATATATACCCGACACACTAGAGGGTAAAAGGGGACTTGATTGTATAAGAAAAAACAAAGTAGGTGATAGAAGTCGAAAGAAGAAATCTCGATATGAAAATTTGGCTACGCTATCTTGTAGGGGAGAATAACTAACAATGACAACGTGCAATTTACTTTGAACTCCCATCTCAAATGAAGTCAGGATAAAATAAAAATGATTCTACTATAAATCTGGTATGCGAAATAAACGACTATCTGATAATTTCAAGGCCTACCTAGGAAATTTTGCTTTTTTGAAATAATAAAGGATTGGCAATGTCAGTGTATGACATATTATACATTTTTGGAATTCAAATTAAAAACTCTTTTGATCTGTGCAAAATCCATATTGCGTCCACAAAAAAAGTTGATGCTGAGGACAAGAGACGTAACGTTACATTGAAATTCCGATTATACCATATTATAGTGGAGAAAAAGTGGCAATGTCAATGTGCAATTTTTGGACAGAATGCTAAAGTGTTAAAAAATATTGGAGTGTCACGGGGCAGCATTTGGGGTGGCTCTTGAGTGACTGGGAACTTTCTGTCGGTGGTCCCAATAGCAAATTGAGTAGGATTCGATTTACCTACATGGGAGGTATCCATTCATATCAGTAGATGCTCGAGGATCTTTGATACTTGGTTGCCCGTAAAAGTTTTTAGATCACTCTGTATACGTAAAAAATATTTTCACACTATTTTCATTACAATTCTCGAAAAATGTGCATCATACTTACTGCGTATCATTTCCGTACAAGATCTTTTTAACTCGCTCATAGTCATCTTTGGGGAGCTGATGCAAAGCCGAATCCACACTTTCGAATTCTTTTATTTCGGACATTTTCCGTAACTAGATTTTCAAGCGCGTGCAATTCTCCGAAAAAAAGAGTCCAACGACTATTCACTTAGCGCATTAGATAATGAACTGCATTTAGTGAGCTAAGTACAGATGATTAGAATAAACAGTTAAAAATAGGACCTAAAAGAATCCCAGGAAGGTATCCTGGGATGATCTAAATAAATTGTTATTGAGCAGCAAGTGCGTAAGCGGTCAATGAATCCAAAATTATTGTACAGGGTCATTTTGCAATTTCTAAAAAACACGTGGTAAAAGTTGTATATCCAAAAACCACATTCTATGTGACTTCTAATGAAAAATGCAAAATTATTCAAATAAAACCCCTTATAATTGGTAATCTGGGGCGCTGAATTTAAACATGTACTCGTATATCAGAATGTCGTAAAGCCGAATTTATGAAAGAAAACAGATGTGAAAGATTTTTTAAAAATTATTTCGTAGCATAAATACACTCGAAACCAAATACCATTGACGCGTGCAATACGTGTGTTAGAAAGAGAAAGAAAGAAGGATCTCGTTGCCTAGCAAGCCGAGCACGACGCCACGAATTCCATTGGAGCACACTTTCTAACATACTTACATATTGCACGTTTCTCGCGTTTCTCTTTCGCACACATACGGCTACGACTGCAATTTTGGACTGTTTGACGGACCTCACAAATTATTTATTCATTCATTTGGGAGTGAACGTTGAGATGTTAATAAAAATATTGCCAAACATTTACGTTGCGTTAACATTTCGTTCCTGAGCTACTGGCGAATGAAGATCGAATTTTTGCATTGGTTAGTTTATATGTCTCAAAGCCGTTAATGCCATACAGGAGCATATTAGGAGGATCATAAATCTATGGAGTATGGACACTTGCTGTGATATATGTACGTGAATTTACTGTTTTTCTTTCTCTTTCACTCTAATACATTTTTATCGGTTTCAATAATATATAGTATACTGTTTTTGTCATTAATTTTTATATTAACCGATTTTGGGCGACTTTACCGAATTTATATGTTTGTTATTATCATAAAATTTTAATTACCGATTGTGGATTATTTTACCGATTTTGTGATCAATGCTGCTAACTGATTTTTGCCGTAATGTTTCTAGGTGTATCAACTATTTTATAGTGGAATATTTATATTTATTTCATAACAGATTAAGTTTTATTTGTGAATGGTCCAAGCCCACGTACGAGTTTGCTTGTAGATTATTTTATCGATTTTGTGACCAATGTTGTTGACCGATATTTGTCGAAATGTTTCCAGAAATTTCAACTATTTTTTTTAAGAAGGCTCACTTTCATTCGAAGTCAATTTACAAGTTCTGCCAAACAGGGCTGTTCTTCCTATCATATCCCCCACCCACTCTTCAATTGTCATCAACGGCACGGGTATCACCTATCTTGGAAAGTGACATTATGCCGGTTTTTTTTTGACATTATGCTGGTTTTTTGACATTATGTAGATTTTTCGCCAAGACGTTGACTTAGCACTTAGTTGTACGTGTTGCCTAAACGTCATGAGGCTTGTTATCAATCTTCGGCTTTGATGTGATGTAAAATCTGCTTCTGAGATGGCATTACTGGAGGTCTAAGCTGTAAGTTGTATGTACTGATAATTACATTGGGTTCATGTCTCAAATACACTTAATTGAGATACAAAGCTATAAATTAGTTGCGCATCCACTTTTCTTATCCATTCTGACAATTACATACCTATACAAATTTGCTGAATTTCAAAAATGAGAGAGATAAATAATTATATTCACTGTGCACTATCGAATTACAAGCCATGTACATGCTAACAGTAATTACACACAACGTGGGCGCGGTGATGATTTCCCGTAATTCTCCTCAGCTTTTCGTAATTTATAACTTTGAACATATAACCTCTCTTTAGAAAGCACAACATTATAAATAACCCGTCATATTCAGTAATGATTTTTTCACACAGCAAATATCACTGATTTTATACACATGCAGACCAATACACATAATCATCCAGATGCGATGTTGTTATTCAAGCAACTGTTGTGTCAGAGATAAAAACTACAGACACGGATCACTCAGCTTCACAAAACTATGCAACCAATAATGCGTGTAGTTTAGTTGAGTGATTCCTTCATAGATGGACGTTCACAACGATACTAGTGAGAGTAGTGAGCAAACGTGGAATGACTGCGCCCTAAAAACCACCTAGTCTGCTTTTTACATGATACCCGTGCGGGGTTGGCTAGTTCTCAGCATTTTTGATCCTGCACTACCTGTAAAGCCGGCTCCACACGCTTGCTGTTTGTCGCAAACGCCAAACAGCGAACAGCGAATACCAAACACCAAACACAAACATCCAACACAAACAACTGTCCTCAAGCTTGGCGAACGGGCCAGTATATTTCGGATCGTCAAACATGGCTGACGACGAGCTTGTGGCAGCTATTAGTTTCGGGTTGACTTATCTTTATTTTAAATTCAAGCAAAAGAACAGTGAAGTGAAAAGAAGAAAACGAAGACGATGGTGGATGATCAAAATTCACAAAAATCGTACAAGGTAACTGCAGTCTCGTACCTAGTAATACAAAATAGCATTTAATTACAGCGTGTTCAATTTTACGTTTTTTTTTTGTTTTAGAAAATTTATGGACGAAAAATTTTGTGAGCTTCTTCATGAACCATCAGGAGAGTTCCATAACTTCTGCCGTATGAGTTTTGCAGATTTTGAATATTTGCTAGACAAAATTTCTCCTCTAATTTCGAAGCAAGATACGGACTTTAGAGACGTCATACCAGCAAAATATCGTCTAGCGATAACATTAAGATTCATCGCAACTGGTGACAGTTACAAAAGTTTACACTATTTATTCAAAGTATCAACGCAAATAATATCAAAAATAGTAAAAGAAGTCTGCAAAGCTATTAATGAAGTTCTGAGGAATGAAATAAAGGTAAGGTATGTGTACAATAAAAGACCGTAAAAATATTGTTAATAAAAAATATATTTATTCAAAAACCTATGTACCTATATCTAAACATATTCAATTTTGACGGTGATCAAAGTTTTCGTAGGCTTTAAGTAATGCTTCATTAACAATGTTGTGTCCTGTTCGTGGTGCAAATAATTCGTTAGATATAATGTGAATTGTGGGGGTTGTATAATTAACTGCGGTGGGTGGTTCGTTTAGAGTTGGTGATGCAATAGGCAAGGGTTCAGAATGTGAAGTTTGGGAGGTTGATGGCTGGTTGGAACTCGGTGATGCATTTGGCAACGGTTCGGAATACGATGATTGAAAAGATGACGGTCTGTCTGAAAACGGTGATGCATTTGGTTCGGAATATGACGTTTTGGATGTTGATGGCCGGTTTGAAATTGGTGAAGTATTTGGTACGGAATACAATTGGTATGGGACTGAGTTATAAGAAGATAGGGTGGGATGCCTAATGAGATTTCCCTTAATTCTATTAATAAATAAAGTGTCTATATCATACATAAACAGTTTTCTATCGTCAGGGGGAAGTTCTCGTAATTTTTTTGCTAACAATTTTGCATAAAGGTCGCAGTCGTCGTCTTCCTTTGATGGCGGTGGATGTTCCTTTTGTCTTTTAGCTAAAATATTCGTTAACTGCCCAAAAGCTGCCGACATCTGCCGCTCCGCTGAATCGGTAGCAGGACGACGACGAGAAGTCACAGGTGTTGGCGTATGGGAAGAAGTTGATGCCTGCCCTAAATTGTTATCTTCTTCTTCTTCTATAGCTTCAGTTTCATTCGCTATTTCTTGCGATGGGGCTTCCTGTAATAAACAAATCTATAAAACTAGTTGTTTTGTTTGGTTATCTTATCTTTTATTTTTTATTTTGATTTCAGATGCCACCAACAGCAGATGCGTGGATGACTATAGAACGAGGATATCGAAGAAAATTCCCACACTGTCTCGGTTCTATAGATGGGAAACATATTCTTATAGAAAGTCCACCTCATAGCGGAACTGAGTATTTTAATTATAAGAAAACGTTTAGCATCGTTCTTTTGGCATTAGTAGATGCCAATTACAAATTTATATTTGCAGACATAGGATGCCAAGGGAGAATAAGTGATGGAGGCGTTTTTAATAATTCATTACTATGGCAGAAAATCAGTAAAACTGAAATTGATTTTCCTTCAGCATGCCCCCTTCCTGGATCGGAAATTAATGTGCCATACGTTTTCATAGGAGATGGTGCTTTTGCACTGAGCATGCATGTTATGAAACCCTACCCAGGACAGCATAACGTCGGTTCACCAAAAAGAATATTCAATCAATGTTTATCTAGAGCTCGAGTAGTAGTGGAAAACACGTTTGGAGTTTTAACTTCAATATTATTACAATAATCGAAAATTATACCAGTGTTTAATTTGGGGAATAAGCGTAGCAGACGTAGCAGTTACATAGAAAAACAATTACTAGGTTCATATGTTCAGGTAGCTATGAAAGTTCGTTTTTATTTTATGTAGTTACTTATGTCATGTCATTAAACAGAATGTATAAAAAAGAGCGAGTTTAATATACCTACTCAAGCAACGACGATGAATAAATTATCTTTTACTTACCTCCTCTGTGTTTATATTTTTTGTGCAGGTATACACCGGACCCAAAAATGACTCCATGACCTCATATGCAAACCAGATAGGCTTATAAGTATCATCCGCGCCTGAAACAAAAAATTGATTTGTTCAAATTCAAGTAAGAATATATGTATATTGGAATAGAGCAACACGCATTGATTCAGCGCGGTAGGTTATATGGGAGTTAACCTCACACACTGTCTTAGGAGGGTCGGTCATACTACTGCAATGGCAACATTTTGTAAGCCTATATTTGTTGATAATAATAGTCAAAACTTACCTGCACCAGAACGAATGGAGTCCTGTTTTCTCTTCAAATGTCTTCGGAACGTAGCCATTAATATTTCTTTTTTAGTTTTTAATTTCTTTATACTTTTGTTCATAAGAACACTAAGGCGCGTCCACGCATCGTTCACCTTCTGCCTGTTTTTATGATTGGTATCTCTAGTATTCCAAATGCATTGTTCATTTTGGTATGCTTCCAAAAAGGATAGAATTGTATCATCAGACCAATCAGACATTTTTCAAAGTTTCTAGCTCCTTTACTCTGCCCGCGAAACACTGCTGTTAGCACCAACTAGACTCATAAACGGAACGTCTGCCGCCCGCAAGCTTGTGCGCATTACTGATTGCTACCAAGCGTGTGGATACATTTAAAACTGTTTGCCGAATATCCTTTGATTTCTGAAGAAAAACCGACACCGATGTCGAACACCGGCAAACACAAGCACAAACAGGCAAACAAAAACAAACACTCATCCACATGTTCGTATTTGTTGTTTGCCAAGCGTATGGAGCCGGCGTAAACCAAACACACGCTCCCGCTGGACTTTGTTATCTGGGCGCCCATGGCAACTATCCTATATCCAAAGTATGAGATCTATCAAAATAAGACAGTACTAAGCGCCATCTATCTTGGCTATCAAACATGAGCAGTTCGATTCTGGTATTAGAAATGATACTTTTAGCGCTATTTTATTTCAATAGATCTCATACCATGAATAGATAACAGTTACCTAATCGACGATCTCAAATCAATACGCAAGTCCGAAAAGTTTCGATTTTCTGATTTTGTTCTATTTTGATTCCTGTATGCATAAATCGACATTTTTGGACTTAGGAGGTATTGATTTGAGGTCGTCGATGCTTTCTGAATAAGAACCATCGATATGGATTTTCTGAGAGCATTCCTGTATGCATACAGGAATAAAAACAGAACAAAATCAGAAAATCGACATTTTCGGACTAACGAGTATTGATTTGAGATCGTCGCTATGCTCATTGTTTCAGAGACCAAGCCTATACCATGCTGAATAAGAGTTTCCAAAAAGTACCTGTCTATGATTGACTGTGCTTGGTCGGACATCGGACAACAAGAACAGCATGTTTATAGCTGCTATACACTCGCAGGGGTCGATTCTGGTAATACAGGGTCCGGCAATGAAAAGGGAAGATTTGGGGTGGGGCTTGCAGCGGGCGGTGAAGTGGTAGGGAGGAGTCACAGACCTGTCTGGACCCGAGTGGCTTGCCAGTTCAGTTAGTCTACAATGGAGCGTTGGACGGGTGAGCATCGCGGTTACGCAATTAAGGCTTATTACCAAAATCGCGAGAGTTTAGTGCAAACGCGTCGAGATTTTAGACGGCATTTTAACATACCGCTTAACCAACCGGTTCCGTCAGACCATTAGTGATGCAAAGTTTCGTTACTTTTTAGGACTTGTAAGGACTCGTTACTTTCGAACTTTGGACTCGTTAGTTTAGTTACTATTTGGACATTTCGTTTAGAACCTACATTCTATATATTATATCAAATTATTATTTTGGGATTGATCCAATTATTATTTTTTGTCTAATGCCTTGCCTATTAATTTTTTTGATATTTGATACGTAGAAGGTACTTATATTTTAAACTCGTCGTTGTGTGACGTCTGGTTCGTTGGCTGTAGGTACGCTGTAAATAGTATTTAACAAGTGGCATAACCAGATGGGGACCGTGGAGGCACCACTCTCCTCACTATTTACTTTAGTTGAGTAGCGTCTCCTGCCCTAACAGTCTGGTTACTCTCCTGCCCTACTTAACAGTCTGGTTACTCCACTGTAAATGGTGTTCAACAAAATACTTATAATAATAAAACATACCTGAAACTAAGTTCTTTTTGCACCTAGGCATATTTTCGTCTTCCACCCGCCGTTTTGCCCTTTCTCCTTCCAATGAAAGAGTCGGATCTTTAGTCTTCAAATGCTTCCTTAAATTGCTAATGTTTCCATTTTTATGGGAATAAATATTTTTACAAAGATTAGACTTTGCATTAGCTTCCGATATATTGGTGAAATGCATCCAAATAACACTTCTTTTTTGAGTTTGCGATTCTCCTGAACCGGACGCGGATGATTCCATATTTTTGTACAAATAATAATTATATTATTGCTCTAGCTTGTACGGCAACGTCCAAACCAGTAACAACCCGCCAACCGCTAGCTCTCAAAGTCAAATGAAAAGTGTACAGGTGTACACAAACATTGCCAACCTAAAGCTCCGCAGTCCGCAACTCGTTTGATAGAAGAGTATCTAAAGTTGCCTAAGCCTAACGATATTCGCATCATTTCATTTCCACCCAGTTTACATCCAAGAACCAAGTCACTTGCTGCTGGCGCTGGCAATACTGGCTACATTAGATCCCAGTAACGTTTGTATCTAAAGTAATCTATATTGTAGTAACTAACAGTAATTAAAAAGTATACATAGAAAAAGACCGTATCGCATTCAAAGTAACGAATTCAAATAAAAAGTAACGAGTCTTTTCAAAAAGTAGGACTCGTTACATTTAGTTACTCATTTGTAACGATTATTTTGTAAGCGTTACTTAATTATTTTACATCACTACAGACCATGCGATTCGAATGTGGCTAAACAACCTCGAGCAAACTCGCAAACTGGATCGACGTCTAGAGAAAGAGGTGGTAGTGCCAGAACGATTCGAACCCCTGAAAATATTGAACGTGTTTGACAAGCCGTTTTAAGAAGTCCACGTCGATCGGCCATCCGTTACGCCACACGCCTTCGATTAAGTGACAGATCGGTGAGAAGGATTCTCCATCAAGATCTTCGATATCACCCGTATAACATACAGGTTGTTCAATCTCTTCACCCGGATGATTATCAACAGCGTCTCAGATTTTGTGTGGTTATGCTTGCAAGGCTGGAAGAAATTGATGACCAGGTTAACAACTTGTGGATGAGCGATGAGGCACATTTTCACCTCTCCGGTTTTGTTAACAGACAAAATTTTAGATACTGGGCGGAGGCTAACCCTCGTATGCTTGATGAATCACCTCTTCATGCTCAGAAAGTGACAGTATGGTGTGCAACGTCTGCAAATGGAATCATCGGTCCGTATTTTTTTGAGGGTGAGGCTGAAAATTGCGTTACCGTTAATTCTGAGAGATACGTTTCAATGATTCGGAACTTCCTCACACCTGAACTCTACCGCTTTCCAGTTAATGAACACACACTTTTTCAACAAGACGGTGCAACAAGCCACACTGCAAGAATTTCGATGAATGCTTTGTTCCCAGGGCGTGTCGTTTCTCGAAACGGGGATATTGCTTGGCCCCCTCGGTCTCCCGACCTTACTGTCTGCGACTCCTTTTTATGGGGTTATCTGAAAATGAAAGTGTTTGAAACTGATCCACCCAGGACAATCCCGGCCCTCAAACAACGAATTCGTGACGAGATTGCAGCAATACCTGTTGATATGCTGCGAAGAGTTATGCAGAACTTCCAGGCTCGACTCGATGAATGCACACGTCTCAACGGAGGCCATTTGACATGTAATTTTCAAAAAATAATGTTTTTTAACATTGTATATCAAATGGCTACTCTTTTATTTCCCAGTATGGTATTACTAATGACAAAAAAAATATTTTTTCGATAATAAAATTATTTACGAAATCTTCCCGTTTCATTGCCGAACCCTGTATATGGCGCTTAGCGCTTTTGTCGATACCTTTTATACTATCAAATTCCATGTGAAAAGACTAGAATAAATTTATTTTTGCTGTTTGTATTAATTACAACTATAATTAATCTGTAACTGTTAGGTTATCATTTTAGAATAGTATTATTTACGGGGGTTGCATGGAACAGCAACGGTGTTGAATGCCGCCTCCGCAAATGCGTTTTTTGTTTGTACTTTTAATCAAAAAATAAAGACACATTATTATTATCTAAGTATAATGCTTTGCCGTACAAAATGTGCATTGCTCTATATCGCTACAACTGAAATTGTCACTCCTACATAATTTGAGTAAAGAGTATATTGAAGTGTCGTGGCGCCGAATTTGGGACTGTCTTGAAGTAAATTATATTCGAGTTGAGATGAAATATAAAATAAACACATTGAGTACCTACATTTATTCGATATGTATATTATACAAAATTTGCATAAGGTTATTGTATAAAATGATCAGCAAACCTATATTTGCTATAAGAGAGGTAGTATCCGATCTTTTTGATATATTTGGCAATTTTGTCAGGTGTCTCTCGCTTCACAGATGGGAAGTGACTATTTGGGAACATTTTACTGAAAGCACCAGATGCCTCATCTGGACTTGGCACCATCGCTCTATCCATCAACCTATGAAGGTCTGACAGAGCACACAATATGTAGTAGTTCTGATCTGACTTTTTGGGTCCTCGTAAAATCCTGTCCACATCTTCTCTCATTGTTTGAATGTTCTCCGTGTCGCATACTATCCAGTCACTCTGAAAAGATATACAGTGTCAAGCTATCAAGTGAGAATACATCACATCCGTGTAGATTTTTTTACTGAAGCAGCCGCGCAGGCAGAAGCCTAAATATCAGAACACCGCGGCTGCTATGAGGAACTTTGTTAATATAATTTCAGAACTGCCTAAGGTTAGTAGAACTGGAATAATCCTCATGTAGATAATTCCAGGTAAAGGCACGCGTGCATTGTCCCGCATTATAGGTATTCACAGTGGTGTTCCGGCATTTAGGCTTCTGCCTGCGCGGCTGTTTCGATATATATATAAACAGTATCCACAGCATTGGGAAGTGAAATGTTATTTTCGGTATAGCATTTGCATTTCCATTCATTATTTGCACAAGTGACAGACTGAAAATGGTTCCACCCACGTGGTGTCGTCGATGGTGACATGTACACCAAAACCGTTTTAATTTTTTCTTATGGACGCCACATTGGATATGTGCACAGATGAATAGAGTTTTTAATTCTGATTTCCAAATTATATTGACATTGAAACGTCATATTGTAATTCTAATTATGCCATCCTTTAGAGGAGAAAAAGTGCCAATGTTAATATGTAAATTACTTTGAAATCCCACTAGAATTAGAGTCAGTAAAAAATGAATTCGATTTTGAAAAAAATCGTTTTTTCCGTCTCTTTCTGGAAGTGCTTTGAATTTAGAAACTGTCTAAGCAGCTTTTTGTCAATTACCTAAATATGCAAATTTGCCCCCATTTAAGCGACTTCGTATCTCTTACAGTTTTCAAGATCCCAATGGTGAGGGTCAAATTTGAAACACCCTGTATAGATGGTATTTTGGTTGCTAATATTTAACTGGTTCAATTCCTTTTTTTATGATACCTGTATTTAATGCTACGTAATGAATTCTGAAATCGTTTCAACGCGAACAGCCCGATGCGTGCGATGCGGACTCTTGGACGCATACCTTGAGGGTACATTTTTATTGCATTTTATTTTTTTTAAGATACCACATTTTACTCACGTTTATGCACTGCTGTTCCACCGATTTAACAGCCATATCGAAATTGTCGAAATTTTGTGCTTCTCTTAGGGTTAATGATATAGTAACTGTACAAGCAACAGCTTCTGCAGCAAAATCTTCTAGATCTCCATTGAAAAATCTGGCAGTAAATGCATAAGCACACAATATGTTTATAAGATTATACTTGACACACTCTGCTGGTTGCTTGCTCTAAAACCACACTTCAATCAAAAGCTATACCAGCTCATTTCTTCATTTTATGATGATTATACACTATGTCGCCATTAATACTATATATCTCAAGCATCATAGAGAGTATAGAACAAATAATATGGTGCTATCCATATATGTATAGCAGCTTTTTTTAAAACTGATGAATACTTGGGGGTGGTCTGAGTCTTATCAATAGTATTACAGTATTGCCATTTAACTTCCAATGATGCTTGAGCTGTGTAATATTTGTAAAAATATGTTGTATGTATCTGAAAGTTACATTATAGTAGGTACTTTAAGATTATTTAACACCAACAAAATTACCGTGATTTGTGCAAAGTCCTTTATATCTCCACAAATTTGTGGACAATTCCTTTTATATTCCTCTTCTTTATCCAACTCCTCTACCATACTGTCATCATGGTAAAGCCACCATGGTTGCCAGGATGGTATGAGTTTGGCAACATCCTCAGATCTAAAATAGGCACAATTTTTTATAATTTCTGATATAGTAATATAAAAAGTACACATAACATGAAGTGTGACAGCTTTGAAGGAGAAAAGAGTAGTGTTTTAATATCTATCATCTATAATTGTATTTATATCATTTCATAATAATGCATAGGCTTCTATGGTAAAAAGCGCATTCCTATTAGCTTTAATTTTTTGCATCACTTGCTATTAATATTATATCTATATTATATGGACAGTACTGATAATATCAGTAAATATAAGCCATCTTATAACTGCAATCATCACCATCAAAATCCAAGTAAGATTTGAATTATGACTGTGGTTCTTGTAACTGATAATAAATAATATGAACAACTTGGAGCATATGATTTATTTACACTTTACATGTATTATTGACAATACTCACTTCAGAAAAGCAACAAATTCTTGTCTTTCATCCTCTGTCAGCTTTTCCCAAACCTGGTCAGCATCATCTAAGTTGACACCATTAAGCCTCTGGCCAATATCTATCACTTCTTCATCATCAGAGTCACACTCTTCATCATCAGTGCCATTGATAAAATCAAAAACAGAATAAGCTGGACATTCTATGCTTTCTATTGATTCAGTATCATCACTGAGGGAAATTCTGTTATTTTCATGAGTCCTCTGTAATATCTCTAACATTTTGGCTTTGGTTTCTTCGTCATTTTTGTTGAGATTGTGCTCAGACATAACATTGTCTTTGTAGAAGGTTTCACTGCATTCTAGATGTGCTGAAGATTGGTAACAAGCCAAAGAGCAATACAGAATGTTGCATTTTGGACAGGAATACTTGCCCAGAGCATTATCACATCTGAAAGATGATATATAGGAATTCTTAACAAAAGGAAATTGTAACCATTACAATGCAACTTACATTTTGCACGTATTTTCTTCAGTTAGCTCTACAATTTTCGCAGAGGCCATTCTTAGACATATATTGAATTAGAAAATAGGTATAAACACGTCTTGTCGCATAAAATAAATAAGGAAAAATTAAACATACGAAATGTAAACGAACCTTAGAACGAACCTATTCAAAAAATCACAAACGAGATCAAAACATGACAGCCACTGTTAGAGTGACAGAAGTAGATTTCCATGTGTCATGCCCATTACGTCCCACTGTGAGGCAGTGTTGCCGTACTGAAAAAGATGTTAGATTCGGTAGATTCAAGGAGGGTAGGCGGAAAAAATCAAGGACTTCCCAAGATCAGCGACGGGTCAAGGGACTTGCTGTTTGCATAAAAAGATATATTATTGTATTGCGCGCACATATTAACACGGGCTTTGTGAGGGCATCTGTTCCTGCAAAATTCTCAAGATCTTTATTACATCTTGTAAAACGACACAGCCTCCTTTTTAGTGAAGGAGGTTGTGACAATGAAGTATACACGTTGCTCTTCAACCTTCTTTGCAAGCATCACTGAAACTTCCCTTTATCATTGTTGTTTATAAAATTCTGAACATTTCTCTGTTTCACCCCAGAACTTTTAAGCCTCACCACCCGACAATTTAATTTGATATTCAAATAAATACAGACGTGCTCTCGTTTCCTTATCGCTACCCGGTGATGCAATAATTCCGGTGTTTTACCAGTCTGTACCTATTGTACACAAAAACCAATAGAGGGAACGTGGAATAAGGGATGTGTGTACATAATAATTGTAGGCAATCTAAATCTACGTCCCTCGTATGCCCGACTGCCTTAGTGTACGCCTATGTATGACTGGTATGGGGCATAAAACTACGTAGGCCCCAGATAACTCTTATTTTTTTACTCTTGCTGTTTTTGGTAAACATCTTGAAATATATATAAATAATTATGAAAAATCAGGTTTTACGTAAATCTCATTTCGGTAGAAATACCGAAAAATCGGTCGACCCGGCAACACTGTTGTCATGCCTCATGCCGGCTAACCTCTCTTTTTAGCATATAAACAACGCAAAACGCATTTAAATGTGAATCTGGCAATCTGGTAACTCGAAAAAATTATACATCATGGATGTGAAAGAATATTTATTAACATCTTCACAGCATTCTCAACAATTTTCTGCATGTCTATGGGATTACAACACTTTGAATGTAATGAAATTGTATAGAAATGGAGGAACGATATCATCAAACTGTTTAGAAATGATTGGGGATGAGTATATTTTAACTGGGGAAGTAGCAAAACCTCTCCTACATGTGTGGCTTTTGAATAACCAAGACGTCTCAAAAAATGTACGGTAAGTTAGAGAGCAACTATAAGATATATTTTCTACCTCAAAGTTGGCCTGACAACTCAGAATTTGGTTTATTCGAATTCAGCGCCCCAAATTGTACTGAGTTTCTTTCACTTAAGGGCATGGATAGCAATTAAAAAAATCATATCTGTAGTCTGGGTCAAGACTCATGTCCTGGGCAAATTGTTTGCCTAGATTCTTAATCCATTGTTAATTTGATGCCGGGGCTGAATGAGAGGCCCTAGATAGCTCATTTCTTCAATTCTTATTTGAACTTGGCACCCCAAATTATGTGGATTAAGATTTGTTCTCTTGTAGCAACATATGAGAAAATGGTATAATTTAGACATTGTTTTTGATATTTTCAGATTAATATTACCTGAACCTGCAACATGTCTAGCAGTTTGTCCAAAACAAGTGTATCTTGCAGTCGGAATGACCTGTAAATTATACATATGGCATATATCATCAGGAAAACTATTATCTGTACAACAGAAAAATTACCAGCCAATAACATGCATAAAATTTTCTTCAGATGGAGCATTTGTATTGGTTGGCGGTCAAGATGGAATGCTAGTTGTTTATAATTTATGCGATTTAATTGCACTTAGTAACAACTATCTTGCGCAGACTGATATTGGCCAGGTAGAACCTGTATATGTGAAGAATGATCATTCCTTGCCAATCACAAATTTGCATGTCGGTAAGTGAATTTGTCTGGAGTACTGTCACCTGACAATATATAAAGTCACATATAAATTATTAGTATGATGTCTGCTAATACTGTTTTTATTTATTGATGGTTTCCCATTACATACAAGAAAACACTAGGCCTATTCTTTAATTCACCGGTGCAAGCAATTAACAAATTTTTCTTCTTTTAATTTCCGTCTGAGCGACTGGTTGTACACCAAACTTGTCTATATAGTTTATAGACAAGTCTGGTGTACCACTGGTCGCTCAGACGGAAATTTTGGTTGCACCAGTGGTGCAACTGGTGAATTAAAAAATACGCCTACTATAAACATAGTGACAGATTACAATAACCTTATATATATATGTTATTAAACTAAAGGAGAAAGAAAAATTCATGTGATACCTAATAAATAAAAATACATAAAACCTAAGTTAAACAGGCACATTTTTCATGTGCTATTTGATGTGCCTAATATTGCTACTAAAAACATTTATGTTGTAGCTTACACCAGTGTTTGCCAGATCTAAGAATTCTAGCTACTGGTTCATTCATACAGTAATTTGTAGAATGATGTGGAGCTGTAAAAAGTTCTGTTATTTCGAATTTGTCTTTTATTAACATTAAGATTTATTTCTTCAACACCTCCAGGCAATCTATGACACCAATAACTATTTTAAACATAAAAGATAAATAAAAAATTTCCGTGCAGCATTTCACGAGTCAGTGTTCAATGTACTCATTAGTTCTGAAGCATTCTGAGTCTTTAAAAATCTACTTTGCACTGCTTCAACGGCGTTAATGTCACTAATTAAATTTGGCGACCATATTGCTGTGTTGTACTCCAAAATACTTTGCACCAAAGAGCAGTATAAAATGCGATAAACTTCTACATAGATATGTTTGGTAGATCTAAAAATGTACCTCAATATTTTATACGACCTTGAGGTAATTTGTCTAAAATTATACCTAAATCCCTAACTGTATTAATTCTCATGAGGTCACAGTTATCAACTTTATATTCATATGTGAGAGAACTTGAACTATGGCTGAAGTTAATTGATGTTGATCTTGTTAGTACTACACCACCAAGTAAGATTTATGAAATCTCTTTGTAAGATTTCCACGTTGTGAATATTTCTCACTTTGAATAATTTAAAATTACCTGCAAAAATCAAATAACTGCTATTTGATATAGCTTCTGCAACATTGTTAACAAATAAATAAAACTGGACCAATGTGGGAGCTTTGGAGTGCCCCTGAAAAGCCATTGATGGGATTAGATAATGAACCAGCATATCTGACACTCTGTGGTCATCCTGACAGGTAGCTTCTAAAACAGGACAGCTGACTGCTTGATATTCCTAAACTTTCCAAAGTAGCCAAAAGCACATCATGATTTACTCTGTCAAAAGGTTTTGTATAATGTGTGTAGATAGAGTCTATTTGAACCTTTTTTTCAAAAGCAAGTATTAAGTTCTCATGAATTATTAAATTAGAAAACGAGAATTCTTAGAAAACCTGATAAACAATGTTTTTCAATGGGTTTGATAAAAGTGAATAATAGTGGGTACAGTTCTAGTAGGTATTCTGCAAGGATCAAACTTAGGACCACTACTGTTTAATTTGTTCATTAATTAATTGGATAGTGTAATTGAATTATGAAGGTTGTTTTATGCTGATGATCTAAAAGTCTTATCACCTGCTGGTGATCTAAAAACAGGTCATGGTAGACATTGTTTGTTTGTGATAATTTTCCTTGTGAACTTTTTTAGACCATCATTTAACCACTAAAGATCTAGAAACATTTTATTCATCAATTAGGTTTGTCAAACATATTGATAATAAAATTGCTGATGCAAACAAAATGAATGGATCCATCATTAGGAATTGTTGATTGTCAAAAAGTGAAGCTGTTGTGAATTGTTTGTTTTATACTTATGTATCTGCTAAATCGGAGTACTGTTCAAATGACAGGAATCCATAACAGTATCATAAAGAAAAACTAGCTAACATACAAAGTTTTTGAAATATCTAATGTTTAAAACGCCCCACATATACCGAGAACAAGGAATTGAATAATTATAATCTTCTACTAAAGCTAATTGAGGCTGATAGTTTGGAGATCAGTTGGACAGTCATTCCTTTATAAATTGATGCATACTGCTATTGATTGAGCCGTATTCATAAAACAAAGGATATCCTTGTACTTGCAAATTTTGAAGAAAATCCTCCAGATGGTATTTATAATAATTTGAAGTAAATGCTTTTTGAGTATAAGCATATCCTTCAAAGCAGTGACATACGTAAAAGGATATTCATAATCTTCACCTTATACTTGGCATAGGAAGCATATCCTTCAAAAATTCTGAGTGTGGTCAGTATCAGACTCAACTTCGTAACGAAAGGTGGTCAAACGATGATGGCGCAAATTGTGGATGTTAGGGATGCTAAAACGTACAAACCTTGTTTATCTTCACTTGGTCGTGACTTCAAAAAATTATATCGGTTCGACGAAGCAAATTTACAATGGCTTGCGGACAGATTTTTAGTTGGAATGAGGAAACTCGAGGAGGAGCACTTTCATGTATTTATAAAATGAAGATATGTCTACGCTATCTCGGTGACCCTGGATATCAACAAGGTATTGGTCAGGAGCTTGGTGTTAGACGAGCAATGGTATCTCGGACTGTGGATAGAGTTGTGAACAGCATAGCTGCACTGTCGAACGAATGGATCAAGTTTCCTACTACCAACCATGAACTGATGGAGGCCAAACGGATATGGCAAAGCATGTAAATTTCCGACATCAATTGGTGTAATTGATTGTACACATATAGGAATCCTGAAACCAAATCGCCATGGAGATGAGTATATCAACCGAAAAGGGAAACCTACTTTAAATGTGCAAGCCACTTGTGATGCCAAAGAGATGTTCACAAGTGTTGATGTCAGTTGGCCTGCATCAGTGCATGATTCCAGAATATGGAGAAATTCCCAGACTAGATCACAACTAATAAATAAAGCAAATGTACTACCTGGCGATGACGGTTGTGGTATTGAGCCATGATTAAAGTGTATTTATAAGTTATAATAAGTTTTATTTTCGTGAACATCATAAGTTACAGGTGGCTTCTGACGCTGCATCATTTCTAATTTAGTTTTATAATACTCTTGTTGTAAAATACGTGTTTGGTACTGCTGTAATAGCATTAGACGTTGCAGTTCTTTTGTTTGGTTTCCTGTTTCGTATTTCTCTGTTGCTAATTTTCTTTTTGGTGGCAATGTCTTCTGAATTGCTGGTGTGGTAATACTAACTGTTTGCTCACTGCGCTCGGTATATACTAGTTCACTTCCTTCTTCTTGAACACTACCAACCTGAATGGCTCTTCTAATTATCCCAATTGTAGGATTACAGTCACCTTCCATAGCTTTCAGCAACTTTCTTTCCCAATCTAACAATTTAATTGGTTTATTACCAGTTTTTTTTAGATCTGTTTTTTCTTCAAACTTGATTTCATGTTGTTGATTTTTTTTAATAAGCCTTTAGTATCTTATGGTTTACCGAATGTTGATTCGTATTTTTTCAACATCTTCAAGGCATCGTCCTTTCTCATTTTTATTTTTGGAACTTGTGACTTCTGCAAAATAATGGGAGCAATGGCAATTTCATCTGCGATGAACTGCAGGTCGTTGCCATTATTTTCTATAGTTCTGTATCCAATAAGAATACGGAACGGTCTGTGTAAGGGTCTGGAGTACAACTGTCAGTGATGCTGAGTGAACGAACTCCCACATCAACTACAAGCTGGAACAAGTCAGGACATGTCGCTCAAGATACAAATACCAGTAAACCTTTTACTTCTTCTTGGAGGATATCCTCGCGAGTATAAGGTAATCGTTATGAATATGAAAACAAGGATATGCTTATACTACTACCTTTTTCTCCGAAGCAAGACCTTATACTTTTACCTTATGCTTCCGAGGATATGCTTCTTTTTTATGAATACGGCTCATTTTCTAGATCTTTCATTACATATTAATCTCAATGTGCTCCAGTTTAGTTCTAGACATTCATTTTATTCTAATGCTGCCAGGACAAAACTAATGTTAAAATTCCCATTACCAGTTAACATTGTAATACCACAGCATGTTGATGTATTTAAGTTTTTTATTTGTATTGCTCTGGAAAGGGATTATCCGTTGGACAATAAATGCTATCATTATTATCTACCATGGGACGTTTCTGTTAAGAGATATGGTAATAGACCCTAGCTCATTTTTGTTTTCCTCATCTTCCATCCAAAATTAATTTGGGGTAATACTACAACGCAATGTTTTACCAATTTTTCAGGAAGCTTTGGGAAAAAATCCCGTTTGGCAACAGTATCTACTGATCAAACTTGTCGCCTTTACAACTTATTGACGGGAGAGAACCTATTGACACTTGTCTTTGATGAGCCTCTAACCAGTGTTGTTTTTGATGCATGCTGTTGGCAGCTATACGTTGGATGCGCCAGTGGCATAATGAGAGCATTCAATTTACAACAACCACCAAGAACAGTGACACACCATATCACCAAGAAAAGCAGTTTGACTTTTGAGGGACATACAAAAAAGGTGACCTGCTTAGCTTTAAGTTTATGTAACACCGTTCTTGCATCTGGAAGTGATGATAATTTCGTGTTTACTTGGGACATAAAAAGTCGGCAGATTTTGAAGAAAATCGAACACAAAGCAGCTATAACTAATATAAAATTTGTAATGTCATTTGAGAATTTTTTTGCCGATGTCATGAAGCCGAAGACAGTTTTGAGTTCGTTGGAGAGAAATACTGATTTTAGTAATGACTTTAAAATTTCTCAAATACAACTTCAGGACATAGAACTAAGTGATGATGAAAATTCGATAGAAAAAGAGAAAGAGAGGGACAAGATAAGGGAAGAGAATACTAGGTTAAGAGTCATCAATAAACAACTGTATAATGCTGCATTAGAAATAAGGAAAAAATATTCAAATAATTTGAGAGAATAAAAACGCTGTTTTATATAAATATTTGTTTTATTTGTATATTTCTAAAAAAATTTATAAATAGGTTTATGTATGGACGGATAAAAATCTGACATGTGGAAAAAATACTTATATAGGCAAAGAAATTGATTAATTGGCAAAAACTATCATTTAATTTTATATTCAATAATGTTGCACTGTTTGATGACTTGATTTTTACCACCATGTTGTTGAAATTGATATTTGCTTTTAAATAAATCTGTAATCAAAAATACTATAATATGGAGATATAGTTGATTCGTTTTTTAGTCAGTTTTTGCCAACTTCTTAATGGCACACTCTTACATTATTTAAATATTAAGTACTTTTTATATCACCGTCCCAATCTATTTGAATACTGCAATTTCAATTCAACAAACTATGTGAGATGTCTTCTCATATACATTTTCAAGGGAAACAATCTATCACAAGAATTACGCAATCAACGATTATAATGTAGAATAAAATTGAAAAAAATCAATAAGCCCTTAAAATCTACCACAGACATAACAGAATTGTTGTGCCTGCAAGTATCAAGTTTGTCTCTTCTAAAATGATGACTAACTGCAAGATCAACAAAATTTGACAAACTTTTTACCCAAGCCACACTTTCCTAAATATTTTTATCGCTTTTTTACCTATTTATTTTTGTATTTTATCCTTCCAATTATATAAGAATCCTCAAATTTCAAAACCTTGGCACTTAAAAAACTCGGCTATGTTATCTAGCAGATGTCACTCATACCTACTGTAGAAGCTTTTCATATAAAACATTGCCTAACAACAAAAAGTCGACTAAACGGTTGTATTCGTATCTAATGAGTATATACATCCATTTTTTATTGAATATAAAATTTTTCTTATATAAATATATTCGATATTTATACTTTGTGATACATATATACCACAAGATTAACAATTTCTGACGATAATATAACGAAAATAGGTACAATCATACCTAAACTAATACTTCTCTAATCATTGATAAGATTTAAAAGCGTCTTTATTGAACATATTCATATATCAACTAGCATACATATTTTTTTAATAACCTAAACTCGATATATCAGATCTTACCAATGAAATTTATATGATTCAACAAAAATACAGATGATTACAAACTCCAAAAAAATCAGCTCAAAATGCGATAAGTCATTCCAGTGTCTTGACAGAAACAATATAATACTGAGAGAACGTACTTGTTTTTGTTTAGAATCCAGAATTGCCTCAATATTTATATGAATTTGTAATATAAAATGCAATTTCATCTGAACCATATACACAATGCGTAAACACAACAAGAAATATAATATTCAAGCACCACTGTAAGGCCACTTATTGTCCATTTGTATTTTTTATAATAATAGTAACTCATCATTCGTTTAAAGTTGCGTAGTAATCACAGACTTCCTTATAATCGTTGTTTCTGTCGTGTTAACCTTTGAAACCGGAGAGGAAACGACCTCTGAAGACACAAGCCATGGAGAAACTTTGCTTAAGGTTGGACTTAGGGGGGTTGACGCCTTTTTGTCTGGTTCATCTTGGGTTTTCTCCTGTTAAAAAGATCAGTGAAGTTAGGTGAGTGTTAATGTAAAAACTTATAACCTGTGGTTCTTATATGCTGATAATCCTCTCTGCTTTGACTGACCTTTAAATGAAACTATATACGCTTTGTATTACTGTTTACTGACGACGTTTCGGCTTCAAAGGTGGCATTTTTAAAGTACAATTGACAAATCGGGTTATATTTTATCTGTTTACACCCGGGTGACAGTTTGTTTTTTTCATTTTCACATTCCTATACAGTGTATTATCCGAACGGTCCAAGATCAGCAAAGCCCAGGATCGCCTGGGCAAGGTATTACAGCTCCCTATCTGTCGTTTTCTTTGTGTACCAGATTGGTCACCCTCGTCCATCGTCCCGAAAACGCCAAGTCCTCCGAAAATGCGAAAACCCACCCAGAACTATTGTCGCAACATCCCAGTTGTTATGCAACCTCCGATTCAAATTGCTGCATTGCATTGTTTATTTACATGAAAAGACGACAGCTAATCTCGCTTGTCGCTTTGCTAGTCAAGGTTGTCCTTTTAGGAGGCTGTCCTGGGCTGGTATTCTCGTTCTTCGAAACACAAAGCGTTCTCAAGTCGCTCAGCGAATATGACGTACATTTGTACTTGCATTCGATGTGCCTGTAAACACATTTTTGAAAATCGCTTGCATATTTGGAAACGACTACTAAATAAATGTTTTTGTTATCGCTGCCTGGGTTTTTATTTATAACTAGCTGACCTGACAGACGTAGTTCTGTCTTAGCTAAAAGGGTAAATATATGGAATGTAGAGGTAATTGTATAGCGAAGTGTTTGTACCGCCATGTGGCTAGCAAAATACGTTGGCAGTACTGTCATTCCCACATCAATTTACCTTGAAAGTAGGCATAAAATTATGTAGAATGTTTTTTTTGCGCCAAATGACGTCAGTTGAAAGCAATTATTGTATTGCTGGATATGAGTCGAAAAATGTATAGAATCTGGCCCATTTCTGGACACCAATGAATGTAGAAGCACGTAGAAGCTATGGTAGTGGTACCAGTGGAGTCAATTTGTGCAATGAATTTTGTTGCGACAAATGACGTCATTTGAGGCGTGTCCTGAGGGGTCCGGACCCCCCGAGATATGCTACATTTACTATACAGATGTTTATACATCTGAATGTGGCATTATTTTTCTAGATACTGTCTGCATTGTGTTTCTTTGTTAATGGAAACTACCAACTTGTCGTAGGCAGAAATCATACTACAACTCGGTGATTCCCAAAGTGTGCGCCACGGCTCCCCGGGGCGCCGCGAAATATTTATTTAAACAATTCGGCAATTTTCTTGGAATTTCAAATTCTCGAATTTTTTGCACCAACAATCGTGTATGCAGAAAGTCAAAAATTTAGAAAAAAAATCTGATGCATTAATGGCGCCGCGGAAAAAATCCGATTATTTCGATAGCCGCAAACCGAAAAAGATTGGGAACCTCTACGAGTAATCTCTCTCAACCGAGGTTATGTTGGCAACATTGAAAAAGCACAGATGCCAAAATGTGCGTTCGAACAGCAACGTTAATACTTAGTCCAAACGCTTAACGCTTTTGCCATGCATGATTCGCTAAGCGTTTTGAAAACATCGCTTTCAAGCTAAAGAACGAGAATACCGGTCCTCGGCTTTGCTGGTTTTGCGCGGTGCCATTTTAGAATTGCAATGCGCAATCTAAGCGGGTTTCAATACTATTCAGACTGTTGTGTATAGGAATGTAAGAAGCATAAAAACAAACGAACTGCTAACTGGAATACAGATAAAATATGTTCTCAGAATTCTCATCTGTAATTGAAAAGGGCATCATGGTGGCCGAAACGCAGTAAACAGTAATTTAAACATTTTCGTTTTCATTTAACAGCAAGACAAGAGATTGTCATTTTCTGTAACTTTTCTGACTATCTTACAAAGTGAAATCCTGTTTTAAGATTCAACAAATGTTGTTTTTGTCAAGAATACAGATATACTCAGTGACATTAGAAGTGTTACACCTAGAAAAAATAATTTCATCAACTTGTTTTTTTGGCAACATAATGACTATATTTTATCCTTGTTTTTGTAAACATTTACTAAAATGTTATCTCTTAGTTTTTGTGAAGAAAGCAGTTTCTGAGAGCTGAGTAGTAGATATTTTTAGTTATTGCCCTATCACATAACAAAATGACTCGAGCTCGATGACGTCCAAATTATCACCATGTTTGCGACTTTGACAGGGGTAGAGTTACTGCCTATCGAGCTGTTGGTTTGTCCTATCGCGAAATTGGCTTCCGTGTTACTTGAACTGCAATGACGGTAAAGGCGCGTGTGTAGAGTGTGGATAGAAGAAGGTGGAGGAACACGAAGGCCAACAGGTCCACCGAGGCGTACCACAGAGCGTCAAGATAGGCGCTTCAGACAACTGGCCCCACGAGACCGTTTTGCTATTACGCGTCAGATCGCTGACCAATGGTTTGGAAAAGGTAAACCTGTTATACTATGCGTACACTCTAACGCCATTTTCGAGCCTTTGGCCTTTTTTCATACCGAGCACGGTTAGTGCTTCCTTTGACGGCGGTCCACTGTCGTCAACGTTTGCAATGGAGCAGAGAACGGCAACATTGGGAGGCAGAAGGCATAATATCATCTTCAGCGACCAATCGCGATTCTGTCTGGTCGTAGAAGGGTAAGACGCCGCCGTGGAGAACGTCGAGATATTGGATTTGCTGTTGAGAGGCATGTACACAGGACTATTGGAGTAATGGTTTGTTCAAGGCAATATGACTGCTGTGCGTTATGTTGATGGCCTACAGACCACTTTATAGCTGTATCTAGAGGGCCGTGCACACGTCCTTTTTCAGCAAGACAAGACACGACCTTATATTGCTCGTCGTACTACGGACTTTCTTCAAGAAGCAGGCGTTAAGGTTTTGCATCGAACAAGTTTGGGATATGATGATGTCTTGACGTATACAGGAGTGTATCCAGCTGCGAGGTTGTCCAACACATTAATTTTTTTCTTATTAGTCGTTGGAAAAAATATTTTTTCTGGGTTTAACACTTCTAATGTCACTGAGTATATAAAGACGTTCAATGCCTATGTAGGCAACATTATAAAAGTTTACTGGCAGAAGCAGTTTAGAATCAATTGATTTGGAAAATGTCAGAATTTCTCTTTCAAACTAGGGTTGTTCCGGATATTTGCATCAATATGTGCTTCAATTCATCAATCTGGATACAGATGTACTGCCTTTTTCACGAGTATCCAACACTGTAAAATAACAGCTAATTATCTAATATTTCAAAATTTCCCATATCGACAAGTGACACACAATCCTGACGGATCCGTCAACGCCAGGTAGACAGTTGCCGCATTTTGGTGTTTCTTTTTTTAGGAAAGTTATTTCGCATAAAAAAATATTGCTACAAGCCTGCTAATGATCATGACTACATTGCAAATCTTACATCGTAATAAATAAATCTCAGATGTGCTATAATAACTTTCTAATAAAAAATATTCTACGTGAACTTCGTAAATTTGATTGTCAATTTACAGTCAATAAAAGTATCTAGATATGTGAACAACTTCGAAACGGTCTCAAGTTTTACCATATTTACACCCGATTCATTATTGCCATTATAGATTAATACAAAGATGTCACTTGCTGATCCGCCGTCCACCTCAGCAGACGTCAAAACGTAATGGATATTTGTGAAATAGGCTTTAGTGCAGGACCCGAAGCGGTAGTACCATCAATACTAAAAATGGGTGAATATAAAAATATAAATAAAAATTTACAGGAAACTAAAACTACTATCACAAAGAATGCCCCAATCCTTCTTGCCATCACCATCCAATGTACCTAGTGAACAGTTGTTCAGTAGCGCGGTTTCAATTTATAAGCCACTTGAAAAAAGGCCTGAATGTGATAGCGGATAAAGGTGTCATGCAACATTTTTTTTAAAAAAAGCTTTTTTTTGCATTAAGTCAACCCTAAGGAGTGATTTTTTCATTCAGTGATTACTTTTTGGCAAAAACAAGATAATAAACTAATTAAACAAAATATTTAAAATTTCAATAAAGTAAAAAGTCCCAATAAAAAATGTTTAAAGTAAATTTTCTCCAAAGAATGATTTTGTTACAAATCATATTAGGAATTTCAAGTAAGGTTATAGTTTTTATTTTGATAAAAAATGAAGATGGTACATAAAATTATAATATAATTAGTTACCTACTCTTAACTTGTTATTGCTGTCGACGAGTTCTTTGCTAAATTATATTAGGTTTGCCTGACGTGAAATGCATCGAAATAACTAAAACACTTCCGACTTCCTCGAGTATCTTAGGCTGGCATTCAATGCGTTAAAAAGCACATAGAGTTATTTTTATGAAAAAAATCTTAAGCTCCGTTTTCGCGGGTGTGATATCAAATAGACTGCTACTAAAGATATAGCTAACAAAAAAGTGAGCATACTTATGAAACCAAACACATTAACACACGTTGGTATATGGATAAAACGATGTTACAGCATGCACAACGAAAAGTTACAAGACAAAGAGAAGTTAATATCACCAGTGGCAAACCTTTTCTTTGGAATTCCAAAAAGTCGCTTGACTACATACGGGGAAGCGTACGAAAAACATTTTTCCGGTGAGACAACTTCTCTTTTTCCATAAACTTCGCTACAACTAACCTCGTCTTCCGAATCTTTCGTATCCATCTCCGAAGAATCCCCCTTGTCGTTATCATCACAGAACGGATTATTGGCGTGGAACGGATTCACAATATGAAATGGGTTCGCATTGTTATCAGTTAAATAATTCGCGAAGGGGTTCAAATTATTCACTTTCTCATCTTCCACTTGGCATATCTCCAATTTTCCATCGTTTTGCCCGAAGAATGTCACTGTCACTGGGGTGGGGCATCGTTTCAAATCCTTTTCTTCATTTTTGTTTTTCGTATCTTCGTTGGTGTCTTTTTCGCTGATTTTGGGAGTCTTGAGGATTGAGTTTGTGATGATTGGCGGTAAGCTGGGTGGGCCACTAACTGACAAGGTTAGCTTATCGCCGCCCTAGAGGGAGGTGGTGAAAAAGCAAGCACACGGTGATTCAAGGACAACACTTTTGGACAGGGGGGTATGAAATGCACTTGAACATAGTAGGGAGAAAGCTTCTCCTAAATAATGAAAAATTCTACTTCTAAAAGCACCGATTAAAATATTTTCCAAGTTGATGTACAACCCTATGCTGTATTTAATTTCCGGCATCACTGCCCTCCTGCCAAGTATGATTGCATGGTGGTAGTAAATATAGACTCCATTTAACGACCTCCTTTCCCGTACGATCAGTCCGATCCAAAGCTTTGAGATGATAGAACTTTACACGCAGGAGTTCACAGTGTCAGACTGATTTCTGCTGGTGAGCTGGAAAAAAGACTAGCAGCGACTTCCATCTGACAAGATACCTGGAGGTTATCACTGCTTGGGAACGCAACAATCTTTCACTGTTTATTGCTTCCAAGACACAGTACTGTACCTTACTAATAAGAAGCGCCCTAGCGCTCATTCGGTCTCGATGGATGAAAGAGTTCTACCTAAGAGCCGTTCATCTCAGCTGGTCGGAGTCCAGATCACCGAGGACTTGATCTGGCAAGAACATATCTAGATAGAAGCCGCGGTGCCCTCGTATCTCGGCTTCTGCCTACGCGATAGCACGAAAAAGGAAATTCTATAACCTGCAGCAACAGCCTGTCAGGTGGCAATGCAACACCTAAGTTAATTGGTATCATAATGGATTATGTTAATTGACATAATTAATTCTTATTGTACCCTATAGGTTCATGCCCAGAAACTGTGAGAACATCCGATAGATGAGTGAATCTGACAGTTTCTCGCCACCTGGTTCTCTGACGACCAAAATGCGATTAATTTTGAGGTACGAGTGACTCGATATTATTCAGTGCAATTCAAGTGCATTTCATTCAATCGGCGGATTAAAACATCACAAAAACAATACAAAACGGATGTTAAACGTTAAAGGAGCAATATATTACTCACCACTGATATGAAAGTCGCAGCATTTAGAGAAGTTTCTTCTTCCTTAGCTTTGACAAACATCTGGTTTGTTAATTTCTGGTTCTGCAGTTCTTCTTCCACTTTAGCTGCAAATAGGAAACATTTTATAGAATTTGGGATTTACTTATGTGTATCGCCAACTTAACATACAAAAATCAAACTTACCCTTTAAAATGTTGCATTTGATTTGCCCTGGGGGTAACGGTTTTTGAATACCGGAGGCTTTTGTTATATTATTCGGAATCTCAGCAGGAAGAGATTTGGAACCACATTCAGATTCAGAATCTGCAAAAACAAACATAAAAAACCTTATATGAACATTTCGTAAGAATCACATACATGTAATAATAAATTGTAATGTATTTAAATCCCTTTTAGGCCATGTCAAAATAAATATGAGCTCATGATCGCAGATTGCAATCGCATGTCGCTACCACGCCCAGGCATTTATGGCACGCTGGCCAATATGAGCGCGCGAATTCGATCGTTTGTTTTTGCTGCGAAATTTTGTCATTGTTTTGTCAACATACCATCTGCCTTCGGATTTTCATTCCTCTTATCGTCTCTAGAAATGCCATTGAAAGACTCTTTAACCAGACTTTTGAACAGGAAGTCTAATTGACTGTCTGTATTTGAGGGAGTTGGGCTTGTTGGTGTAGAAGGTTTGTTCCTCGGCAAAGTACCACTTTTACTGCTTAGTGACAGAACAGGACTGTAATGAAAGATTTAAAAATCTGTAACTTGTGTAATTTTCACATACGTGGATAATATAGTGTCAATCTACTGGGCCATTTGATTCAATAATTTCTTCAATAGCTACTGTTGCTATACTAACCTGTGAGTTGAGCCACTACAAACAGATCCTTTCCCAAATGAATTTCCACTTGTTGAATTCTTCCCAAATGAAGTAACGGACGCTTTTCCAAAGCTATTTTGGCCGACTGAAGCCTTGCTGAAGCTACTTTGGCTAGCAATACCAACGGATCCACCACCTGAAAAAAAAAACTAGAAAAACGACCATCTTTATGAAGTGAAATATTACCTGTTGGAGTAGGCGTACTGGGTGTTGGGGTAGGACTCTTTATTTCATCTTTGACAGTACAATAAATAGGTTCACTTGTGGTAGCCGTTGATTTATCACTACTTGTTGAAGACACCTGTTGATGCTGAGTTTCTCTTTCCCTCTCTCTCAACACATGACTCTGTCTTCGTCCATACCTAGAAAAAAGTTTTTCAGTTAAAAGTTTTGAACACTCAGCAATTGCGATTTACCTTTGACTGGGTTTTCTTTCAAGTTGCACTGTCCTCCTAGCTCTATTTTGATAAGTACTTTGGTACTCTGTTCGACCTGAGTACCTGAATCTAGAACCCATCCTGAAAAAGTTCTGCCTTGCTGATGGACCTTTAACAGGTGCTCTCAATCTGAAGAAACCATGGTGCTCTACAGCACACTTCCATAGGTGTTTACATGCTTTTTCATTGTGCAATCTAAAAAAAGTATAAATCAATAACAATACATAGTGGCTCAATAAATTACAAACCTAAAAACAAAGGTATGCTCCTGTTCTCTTCCTTGATCATCATCTTCAACAACCACAAGTGTCAATTTTTTCTTTTTAAAGTTCAGTTTTCCAATTTTAGGCCAGAAAAATAGTCCAATTTTTTGATTGGGCTCCTCAAATACCAAAATTCCTGTTGGAGTTAGGCCCAATTTATATTCCATACTGTCTTTCCCCTAAAAATGTCAAACATGGTTCAGTAAGATTCTTCTACTTGTCATTAATCAAAAAAGTGGTCTATAGTAAAAGGTTTTCCATTGAGGACTTGGCAACTTTCTTTTTAAATAAAACGCAAACCATTTGAGATATCTCGAAAATTTTATTATTGGATTGAAGTATACTCAAAACATTTATGTATGGAATTCGACCTCGTTCACATGTCCACCATGGTCACGTTTGCAGACATCGATTCGTTGAACCCAATTTTCAAAGACTTGGCCACACATTTCGACAGAAACGGCCGCTATCTCTCGTTCAATATTGGCTCTGAGCTCCTCTGACGACGCCGGCTTGTTGGCATAGACATTAGATTTAATGTAGCCCCACAAAAAAAGTCTAGAGGTACTAAATCACACGATCTAGGCGGCCATTCAACAGGAGCATTTCTCTATATAACACGTTCACCGCACTTTGATGTCAATATGACGATTGTTTCACCTGCTGTGTGGCTTGTGGCACCGCCTTGTTGAAAACTCGTATCATTATTGTCTAGCCCATTCAATTGACCAAAAAAATAACGCTGCAACATGTCTCTGTAGCAATCTCTGTTGACTGTAACGTGACGGTCATTTTCATCAAAAAAAAAAAAAATAAAAAATTTCTAGAGCCCAATTATAGAACCTACGTCGGTTCATATGATCGAACGGCTTCAATTCTTGAGTCAATTTGATCTTATAAGGGTGCAGGTCAAGATCTCTTCGCAAAATTCGCCAGAGTGTGGACTGACATCGCCGTGGAATCGAAGTGTTCTGTTCGTTTGCGACGGAAGCTTGAACGGCAGCAAAGTTCTCGTCACGTTGACCAACCCGTTGTCTCATTGGCACCAAACCATCCAGCAGCGAATCTGTGGACTCAAATTTTTTACTAGACTATGAATTGCTGGTCTAGTGGGACGATAATTACGACCAAAAATTGGCGTTAACGCTTTTAAAATTGCAGTCACTGACCCGGAATTTCGGTAGTAAATTTTGATTATTTATAGGCGTTGTTCGTTTGTGTAACTTCACCATGATGGAAATGTTTTCTTTACTGACTCTTTTCACATAGACAGTTCAGTAATTGATTTAAAGGTGCATTCACAGTGAAAGTTTAAAGTTGTCAGGTCCCTATTGGAAAACCTGACACTTCCATTTGCAAAAGTAGGCCAGCCGGCCTATCTGATTTGATGGCTCATACACAAAAGCTAAAGAGAAAAAAGAGAAGAAAAAAAGAAGGAAGAGATATGGTAAAGATGATGTTCAATTTATATCATAAAGTTCAATATTCAAGGTATGATTATTGTCTTACCAAGACTGTATGCATATCTACTCCATACATTTCCAACCATTTCACTTCATTCAGGTAACTCTGTTCAGCATGAGCTGGTGATAGTCCTTTAACCTTTTTAAATTCTTCCAAAACATCAATTTCCATCTGCTCAGTCTGATTTGGAACAAATCTAAACTCAGATACTGTTGCTGGAGTGTGTTGGGTTTCATCATAATCACCAAGTTCAGCTAAAAATTTAAGTCACAGAAGCATTGAAAATCTAGACCTGTATCAAAGGAACCAATGGTAAATAAAAGAGATAACAATTTATTATGTAGTTTATTGACAAAGTTATACTTACATTGTAAAGCATATGCAGCAAGTTTGACAGCTGTTTCGTATGGGCAATCTAGTCTACCTTCTAGAATGTCTAGTTTTAACTGCAAGAAAAACTGGTACCGAGTCAACTCTTCTCTCAAATTATTTGGTTCAGAAGAGTAAAATTTAACCTTTAGCCTCAAAGTATATGGTGGCCCAACTATAAAAACATCACAAATATAATTAATGGATTATTTCATTGTATTATAGAACAAATTGAAGTATCATCCAATAAGGAACAATTTGCTCAAACAACATGAAATGAATAAATATTCAATATATAGTCAATCAGCAACAAAATATATAATCTACAACAGCTTTAATTGAATTGTAAGTAAAATAGACAGTCTTACTTTTTATCTGTTTTTTTATGGATTTTGTGGGATCCAGCCAATGTTTGACATGATTGGCATCAGTGAATTGTAATCCAAAGTAATCCTTTTCAATCAGGTCCAGTGAATAGAACACTTGTTCATAAAGATCTCTAGCTTTGGCTTTTTTCTGGAACAAAAATAAATAGAGTTTTTATATAAAAAACTATATTAGAACATTAACACTAATCTGTTATACTTTTTTTAGTTCAATATATGATTATGGTATGCTCGATTCATTAATATTTTCAAGCTTGCTGATACATTTCTTAATCTCGAGTAGCATTTGCATGGCAGCAATAACACTAATAACATGGTAATAAGCAAAACTAGTAGTAACATTTTTTGATGTCTTTGGAGATAGGTCATTATACTAATACATTATTTTTTACATTTGGTAAATTATTTAGGATTTTCAAATTATTATAATGCTACTATTAAACATTTCTAGGTATATAATAGTGCCTAGAAACATATATGTACATACTGATAGCTCTATAGCTCTCTTAAGTTCTAAAGATATAATTTATTATTTTTCCTAGCCTATAATTATGAAATAAAAACTGTTAATCAAACACATGTTATTTTGCTAATTTATAGTGGACTTCATTCCAGTTTAGAGAAATAAAGTAGGGGATAAGTACTTCAAAAATTAAATGATTCATTTAATCATGGTAGAAGGATAATTGTTGAAAGCAGACTGAAATAAAATTATGATTTTACACATAATTATGTAAGCTATGGGAATTATTACAAAACACTAAGTTTCATCATTCTTTAATTTTCCCACATTTTTTATTCTCATTGTTATAACTACCTTGTGGTGAGCTGCATAAGAAATATAGGTAAATGTGATACCACAGATAGCTATCAAATGCTTCACTTGGTATTTGTATAACTGTACAATGTCTTTTAAACAGCACACTAGATGCCTTTTGCATAAATCTGAATACCAAGTTGCAAAAAGTTAAATAGCTGTAAATATGAATGAAATGTTGCAGCTTGAGCTAGAACAGTGGCAAAAATCATAAGTAGGATACAAAAACATTTCTCAAAACTAAGCCTGCAATGTTTCTAGATAAAAAAGGGCTTCATAAACAGAACAAACATAGGAATGTGCATAGGATGCAATACAATTTGCGGAACAATACATTAAACGCCCACACAAACAAATGAATAACATATTTATGCATTTTAAAATTAAGTATAGAATTTTTAACTCACCGATAGTTCGACAGAGAGGTCTGTTCCATCCAAAAGAATCACTCTGCATTGTATCAAATTTTTATTAACCACAGGTTTATTTGATTTTGCATCATTTGATGAAGAATTTCTTGGTCTTCGTCCACTTAGAAATCTAAACATTTTGCAAATTCCATTTCACGATATCACTGTTGATAAAAAAATGTACAGTTTTCTAGGTTATATTGGCACAATTTTACAAGAACACTAGTGTGTGGGTATAATTGACCAGCAATTAATAAATAAAAATAAATGTTACTTTCTCTTCCTTGAGCAAACTTCAAGAAGCCATTTTATGCAATGCAAATGAATTTACTGGAAATCCATACCAATACCACGCCACCTGTTGATTGGCAAATAGAACATGAATAAATAGTTTTTTATCACTGATTAAAACATAAAGCTTCCCTGGAATGAAATAAAATCTAATTTAAATTGAAAATAACATACAAAACTGTTTCAAAATAGAAAAAAGCTGTGAAAACAAATAAATAATTTGGAATTCCTCTTTATTCTGTATAATGCGTTGCCGATACGACAAAACATGGTGACGTGACGTTACCGTCGTGAAGCAGACGTCATCCTTGACACCTTGACGTTTCTGAAGTTTATCTGGCCATTGGCCAATCAACAAAGAAGTAGCCGGTCATGTGGCAAGCCATACTTGTCAAACCACGCCCTATCTCCTATCTTTGGAGTTCGCTTGCTGACGTTTTGACTTTGACGTTCACCAATAACCTATAATTTATGTTTATTTCCTTAGGGTTTTCCTAAAACTGTTTTCCAGTTTAAAGCACAATTCCACCCTTAATTAACGACGGTATGCAGGCTCCAGCGTTCCAGTGGAGTCCAGACAAGACTTACAGTGAAAAAGAACGGTAATAGGACTCTTTTCCCTTGTTAGCCTTGTGTAAAGTACTTATTTTCTTCCAGATGGATATGTATCTATCCAGCTTACATCAATAGCAAAAAGACTATCGCAGAAGGACGAAGAATCACAAAATCTAAATGCGTCGAGAATCCTACGCATCAAGAAATCAGGGATGTTCTTGTTGCTGTTGGTTTCAAAGTTGGGGTAGAAAATAAATTGTACAGCAGGGAGCGAAGCAAAGAGATGTTGTACAGGGGTAGGATAAGGGTACAGTTGAAGAATGACGATGGTACACCATGTCTCCCCGATTTTGCGACAAGAGAAAGTGTGATGATTCATCTAGGTGAGATGATTCCAAAACTGAAGACAAGACAGAACAAGGGAGCTGGTGAACAAACTCAGCAGTCTAGTAGTAGCAGTAAGGGGAAAGGCAAGGGCAAAGGAAGGCGATAATTATGTTTGTGGAAATTCTTTTTACGTTTTACAAGAATGGTTATTATATTTTATTTACAGTAAATGATTATAGCTTTTTGTCATTCCCAAACCATATTGTTAGGCAAATCAGCTGTGTCCAAATAATATGTTAATTAATGCTAGAGTACAAAAATCTGATTCTATATTGATGTTTCATTTTAATGTGACAAAAGAAATTGAAAATGGAAATTTTACACTGACAAACTTTCAGTTAAAAAGGATACTATTGAGTAAAATTTTCCAAAACTTTTGTATAGGTACATGTAATCTTGACTAATTAATGTCCAGTCCTTAAGTATGTGGTTGATACATCTCATATCGTTTTTTTTGCTGAAATTGTCGTAAGACCACAAAAGTCTAATTTTTCTACTTCAAACAGGAGTTCCTGATACTCTTGATGCCAGTATTCATAATCAGTGTCCAAAATTATTCCAGCTTATGGAGTTTCGTATGTTGTAATATCTGTAGCCGAAAACGAAAATATTGTGATGAAAAGCTTCACAGTCTAGAGGAATACTGTTGAATAAAGTTTTCAAAAATTGTTGTGCATTTGCAATGTCTACTAAATTCCACGCTACCAGGGTAAATGAGATGCATCATTATGCATCTGTTGTCATTTTTTCTGCTGTGATCGACGGGAGGTCGCAAAAGCCAGATTTTTCGACATCAAATACGACTTCGCAGCAGTTCGGCGTTTTTTGATGGCGGAATTCGAATCCACCGGCCCAAATTACTCCAATGTACCTAGCTGCTCTTGATTGCAACAACGAGTGACAAAAATGGATATTTTGTGTTGAGAAGCATTAATCGAAAAATTGGTGTGTATCTGTAAATTTTACTTGATTTATACTTCACAACTCGGCCCCACAACACTTCAGAATTTTTTTATGGTGATTTTCGGATTGGGACCTTTGTATTATAAAAGTGGTTACACATAACGAGAATGACAGCAACTCCTATATTTGTTGGGGGGGTATTAGGATGGGACTCCCAAAAATCGGCGTATCTATGTGATCCGATACCAATCTCACGCTGGGACCGACCGGAGGTACCCGATGTCTCATTCATTTACATTTTTTTTATATACCGAAGCACCTGCGTAGACAGAAGACTAAATACCAGTGCACCGCAGTTGCTATGACGAGTTTGAAGAAACTTCGTTAAGCCGATTTTTGAACTACCCAAGGTTAGTAGAACTGGGAAAAGCCTCTTCAGGTAGATTGTACCACAATCTTGATACCCTACGGACAAATTCGCGGTCTTATCGGGCAGTTCTGGATGGATGGATGGATGCGAGACTGTCCGTACCTGGGCCTTCTACAGAGTAAGGTGGTTATATGGAGAAAAGAGCTTTTTAGCCCTGAACAAATAACCTCTTTGGTAGAATTCGGCCATCCATCGCAACCGGTTGAAGGCTAGGGTACTTCTTTTTAGACAAGGCGCAGATTGTTTAGGCCAGAAACAAAACTGGTTATTTAATTTTTTTGATATCCAAATTCCGCACCTATAATTTCCTAAATGTACGAAGTTTCGTTCACTTGCAGCAAAATCCTTGACATAATGACGAGAAAATTCAGAAATTCTTTAGTATATGTGATATGGATAGTGGCGTAACAAAGAGGTTTTCGGAGCCCGAAGCAAAAACTTTTTGGGTGCCTCACAGTGTTGGAAAAAAACATGTATTTTTTATTTTATACAAAACACATGTTTTTTGGTTTTAAACGTTTTTTTCAAAAAACATAGTTTAAATCATATTTTTCCATAATATTAATTGAAAATGTGCGATCCATTATTCTACTAAATAATAGATATCTTATTTAAAGTCTGACTCTGTACTAAACTGTTGCGATCAGCTGTTACGAACCACGTCGCGCGACGCCGCCGCTAGGCTGTGCCGGTGAATCCCCGAAATAAGAAAACCTATTGCAAAATTGCAATGAGGAATTATTGGCCTGGGAGAACAACAGACTACTATTTATAAATTCGCCTTGTAAGTTGGCTATTGCAATAACGTCTACTGTTAGTTATTTTGTGGTGTTCTTTTTTTGAAAAATATCGTCTACAGGAAAGAAGAAAGATACCATTTGGTCCTATTTTGATGTTGTTAAAGATAATAACAATAAATCAGTGACTGCTAAATGTAAAAAATATAAAGTAATTATGGCTGGACTAGTGCTGCGTATGAAGAAACATATTCAAAAACGTGTTCCATCTGAAAATTCTCAGCTATTAATGTCAATTATCTATGATTCCGAGTCAGATGAGGATTTAACGCTAGATGATATATCCAAAACTCAAAAATATTCAAGGAACGTTCACCCAGATAATAATACAGGTAACTTTGAATTTTAAATTTTTACCAATTTAAAGACAAATGCCCAATACTTTTTAAAAAAAATGAAGTATGTCGCATTTGCTTTGGACAAAGTCCAAAGAAACACTTGCACTATAGGAGAGGCTACAGAGATATGGCTAGAATTTTTAGAAGCATTCGAGACCGAACAAGCAAATGGAGAATTTTCGGTAAGTGATACGAATAAAGTTGAGGAGCGTATGAAAATGGCTTTGACCGCAGCTCATTTTTCGGCAAATTTGCTTGATCATCGCTGTAGAGGCAATAAACGTAGTCAAGAGGAAATAGAAACTGCCATAGAATATGTAGAAACCTATCATCCAGAAGCATTGCCAATTATTATTAGTTACCAGGCAAAGTGTCTACCCTTTACACCATATATGTTTTCTAAACATCTACTTGAGAATGTAAAACCATTCGCTTGGTGGCGTTCTAAGAAAAATATAAAGATCACAGCCTTGGAACTTGCTCAACAGCTTCATACAGCTATTGCATCGTCAGTCAACATAGAAAGACTCTTCTCATCATACGGTTTAGTCCATTCAAAACTACGTAATCGGTTAAGCAATGTCAAAGCTGCTAAGTTGGTATCCATGTTTAAAGAGCTGAATTCCATCAGTGATGACGTGACTGATCAGATATCAGATTGATGATTTAGATGACTATGAGACTGAAAGAGTTTGTTAACGCTAGTATGCAAAATGTTTAAGTTTTCCAATTTTTGTTGTGCTCCTATTATTAATAAATAAATATTTATGTTAAAAAGTTTGTAAGTATAATGTATTTGAGAACATTTATTATTTTTATTTATTATAGGTATTAATAAAGAAATTGAAGAAAAAAAAACATGTTTAAAACAATTTATTAAAACAAAATGTTTAAAACGAAACAACCCTGACGGCATCCGAAGTATGGCGGTGAGAGGGGTGGGGGATGCAGGAGCGGAAAGATTAAAAAAAAATGGGCGGACCTGGAACCGTGTTTTGGGGCCTCTCGTCGCTCGTGGCCGAAGCATAATATATTGCATCGTTATCTTAGATCCGTCTGGTACTCACTTCCTGGGTATATTAGGCGTAAATACAAATCTGATGATAATTTGCTTCTGGAATTGACAGTAAATTTTAAATTCCGTATTTTAAGAATTTTTTACGGTCATATTTGAATCTAGCGCCCCCAGGTGCATCGTTTCATTCATGAAACAACTGAACCTTATTGATTCATGGTTTATACCCGGAACGTGGCTCCTCTTGTCTCCCGTGGTCGGTAGCAGAAATATCGTAGGGGTAACATTGTAATAGCGACCCTCTTCATGTTGAGTTTTCAGTAGGTTGAATGCTCAACCGGTGGCAGCAAAACCTACTGCATATGCCTATCGGTAATTACTGTAATTCCCCAGTGTCAGTTGGTACACACGCTTTTAACACTCACACGTCTTTATTTTTTTGATCGTACATTTCCAACACTAGGTCTCTTGGTTATAAGATCAATATTAGTGCAGGACTATTAGACTTTCTCTGCTGAAAAAATCCCACCTGGTTGAATTTTTGACCAGAGATTTTTTTCAGCATTATAAATCATCCCTCAAAAGTCCACATGAATCCAAGTGGAGCTTTTTTATGGGGGGGGGGGGTCAAAGATCACAAAAACACTTTTTTCCATATATCTTCGAAAATATTAACTTTACGATAAAATGAGCAATTACCTTTTTTGTTCAGTATGAAATTCTCCACAAAAAAGGTTCTATGTACTTTTTTCGTAGAGATCGTTTTTCAAAGGAAATTTTACTTTCAATGTTGAACATCGAGAAAATTGTAAAATAACGTACTTTTCATCAATGTGACCTGATGCGGCATCATCTAAGTCTTCGCCAACCTCAAGTGTTGAGCATAGGAAATTCATGGGGACTATATTCTCACCGAATTCGACATTATTCGACTATTCATTGTTCGAGATCATATTCAGACATGACTGTCCATAACAGTAGCCGCAAATGGCGGAACAGTGTAGGCCAAGTTTCCTACATCCGCAATTAGCTCCACAACCTTTCGTACAATTACAAAAGATTGTGATCAATAAGACAGCAGGAGCAGGTGGCAATAGAGTTTGTATTGGCTGTAAATATTCGTCGGTCATAGTCCATCCATAAATGTGCTTGAGCTGCACTCGATGTTGGAGGCAGCATTGAAAACTTAACAGCTTTATCATATATCGCTAATAATGATTTGATGCCATTTGTGAAAATAGTATCTGGAGAACATCCTTCCTCAATGAATACTTTTGGTGAATCTCTGATGTCAGCTGTCTTTTGAAAAATTTTAGTGGCCTTTGCCTTGCCTTTATTGAAGAGAGCAGATGTTGTGTCACATCCAGTCAAAGCATGCAAAAACAAAATGTGTGGTTTAACGGTGATGTGAGCATCAAAACTTTTTGGAGAATATATAATTGTGTCGATGTTTGATTTTCCAGGCTTCATAAAATGAATATGTTTATTCTCAGGAACAAGTGTTTTCAATAAGACCGATAAATCTACATCATTTCCAACAATTATACTTCGATTTTCATTCGTCAATTCAATTGCAGTATTGATAATGAGAAGACCAGCATCATCCTCTGCTTGCACGACGTTCACGAGTATATGACTCTGCTTGAGTTTTCCAGACAACATTGTTATAAATCGCGGTTTGTTGTTGACATTAGCGAGAAACTTCTCTTGAGTTGTTGTCAGAGTCGTCGATGGATCAAACATAATTTCTGTGCATGTACCGGTTTTTGCTGATCATCGTTGTTGTTCCATTGCTTTCGTGTTATTACGTTGATTGTTATAACCGTCGAAAACAACCGTAACTTTCCAACCAAAATGACTTCGTAAATAATTACCATAACAATCAAAAATAGCATCATAATATGTAACATCTCGATAGAACGCATTCTTGGGTTTAGCATCTCGCTCCCTTTTAGCAGCAGTAATGCTACTGGCACGAGTATATTCTTTGCGACACACCACCTGCACTCTGATCGATCGAGAATTTCATACTGAACAAAAAAGGTATTATTTCGTTTTATCATAGAGTTGATATTTTCGAAGATATATGGAAAATAGTGTTTTTTGTGACCTTTGACCTCCCATAAAATAAGCTCCATTGGATTCATGGGGACTTTTGCGGAATGATTTATAATGTTGGAAAGAAGCTCTGGTAAAGAATTCAGCCAGGTGGAATTTTTTCAGCGGATTGGTCTTCTTTTCGTCTAATAGTCCTGGATTATATTATGTATATAAATATAACTGTTACTCACAACCGAACTGGATCATACATACATTTTTATACTTTCTTTTGCTTTTGCTTAAAGCTTAAACCATGGCGAGATCACATTAGTATCTTTATATGCGCCTTCACCATAAATGAAAAAATACGTTTCTGAATGCTGTCTGTGTTAAGCGAATAATAAAATAATAAAAGGATAACTGGTCCGCCGAGGCGCACCGCAGAGCCTCAAGATAGGCGCTTGAGACAACTAGGCCTACGAGACCGTTTCGGTACTACGCGTCAGATCGCTGACGAATGGTTTGGAGAAGAAGGTGGACCTGTTACTATGCATACACTCTATTGCCGCATTCGAGCCTTTGGACTTTTTTTATACCGTCCACGGTTAGTGCTTCCTCTGACGGCGGAACACTGTGGTCAATGCTTGCACTGGAGCAGAGAACGGCAACGTTGGGAGGCAGAATGGTCTAATTGTAATGTCATCTTCAGCGACGAAACGCGATTCTGTCTAGGTACGCACGATGGCCGTAGAAGGGTAAGACGCCGCCGTGGAGAACGACGTGATATTGGATTTGCTGTTGAGATTCATGTACACGTCCCCATATTGCTCGTCGTACTACGAAGTTTCTTCAAGAAGCAGGCGTTAATGTTTTTCCGTTCACCAGATTCAAGTCCCATCGAACCTGTGTGTCATATGATGGGGGAGGAGACTATCTATTTTGCACCATCCCCCACAGACTCTGGTCACAGCTAATCCACGAAGCCTATACGTATACAAGAGTGTATTCAGATGCGGGATCGCCCAACACATTGTTATTTTTTTTATTACTTGTCAATAAAATTTCGTGAGAATGTTATTGTTTCATTCTTGATGTAAGACTACTTCATTGCCAAAAATCAAGTTGATGGATTTCTTTTTTCTGGGTGTAACACTTCTAATGTAAGTGAGTATATTATAAGGAGTATTTGGTACTTCCCCCAAAGCAAAAATTACAGAATTTTAGGACTTTTAGGACATAATTTATATTTTGGAGGATTTTGTGTATCTTTGTTTTCTATATGCACCCGATTAAGATGGTCTTGACGTACCTACTTGTCACTAGCTCAATTTCTTAGCCGCAGCCAATGTTCGGCCTTGAACACAACTTTCGTCCCTATCACACAGCTGGGTTGCATTATAAAAATAAGGTGGCAGAGTAATGAATCTTTGTACTCTGGGTTCCATTTCTTGTAAGTTGTAACCTCAGCTTCAATGTGTTGTTTTAAAAACGATTAATATGAAGTGAATTGACCATTAATAATAAAATGATAATATTTCAACGTTAAGGAAAAATATAATATAAGTGGGTACTGGATATTTTATCACATCCGTCAAAATATGTATACTGGTACAAACTGATAGCTAAGATATATTTATTTCAGAGTGCCTAAGTGGTTTGAATAGAGAAGAATAGACTAAGCGCTTATACTCATACCTATATGTTGAAAGTTCCTTAGCACCTTTTGAAAAGTATTTTAATTGTTCTCAAATTCGTTCTCCAAATAGGCGATATTTTCGCAAAACTTGTTAGTAAAGATTCTTACAAACCTTCGATCTTTCTCCAGACCTTTCTGGCCAAATGTGGATGTGTGGCCGAAGATGTATTTTTGGCCAAATCTAGTAGATGCGGAAGCTTCTGTGGGACCCTACATGTCACTTTATTCTCAAAGTTGTTTTATGTCCTGTTGAATCTGACACCACCACAATAAGTTTAGTTACATTAACGCTATTGATTGCAGCCGGTCAAAATGAGGAACGTACTGAAAGATAATTTAGTATGGGGTAATGGAGCTTGGAGTGCATACGATTGGTTCAATTTATGTTCAGTTGATATTTAATGTTTTCAATATTATATTTTTAAATAAGAAATCTTATTCCAAGCATATAGCATATATTAGGCAGCAGCGGTGGCCGCAGTAGTAGACTCTTCGGTCTCCTGATCAGTCGCCGCGCGCTGTGCGGGTTCGAATCCCGCCCCAAGAGAAATTTTTCTCTTGGCTATGGATGTTGTGATTGTCCGTAGGTGGTAGACGATCTCTGACTGTCGAACGCAGAGGTACCACAAGTTGAATGCACACGTATTCCATCGCCAGAGTCCGTGTGGTGTTCCTCCTTTCCCCTGTTTCCCCCTGTAGCTCCACGGTACCCCATGGGTGCTTAGGCCTTCGTGGTAGTTGGAGTATAAAAAAATATAGTCGTATAAATGCATGAAATATGGTATTTTAGGTATTTTGACATATACTTTACGGAAACCTATGTTGGTGTTAAGATGTCTCTTTTCAAAATGAATCATGAAACCTTGAAAAGAAGGAACCTAATTTTATACAATTTGTAGCATACTATAGCTGTACTTTTGTAATAATTGCGATGATGGTTATTTTGAAAGATTTTACACCAACAGCTTTTTAGCTAATGTAAACAAGATTAAAAAACATTTACTTGGAGACAATTTAAAATAGACGTATCGTCATTATAATTTTTCTAGTCGATGTCACGAGAATGGTAAAACATAATGAAGCGTATACATTTTTTATATACAACTCAAATATCTTTCTTCAACGAAAACGTTTTTAAAAAGATTTATTTTTGAGAAAGACCAAATACAATGATGTTAATTGAATGAGTTCTGAATCGAGACTGACTGTAAAGTTCATTATACAAACCAAAGTAAAGAACAAATGAAATACAATACTGTAACTGATAAGAAAGGCACGTGGAGGCAAAAGTCCTTGTTCAGCATATTCTTCTCTGTAGACTGGTACATAACTCCTCCACCCCTAGAATGAAGCTTCCCCTGGAAGGTGAATTTCTTTCTTCTTATATCTTGAACTGGAATCTTCTCTTCTAGTGCGTTTTGTGGGACTTGGACCTTCTTCTTTCATCTCGGCTGATTCAATGTCGATTTCTAACTTGGATGCTTTCTTGTTTCTCCATCTTCTATATAAAATTATGCAGCAGATGCTTGAAAATACGAGATATAGTAATATGGTCCAAATACTGGGTTTTCCAAAATTTTCTATGGAATTTTCTTCTAAAATTGGTAACATTCGATTAACTTGTAATTCTGGTAAATTTAACGTTTTCAGAGTAATTTGTGTCTCTGGGATATTTTGTTTCATAAAATGGAAATTCATTTTGTCAGCTACGAGGGGCTTTCCATAGGTTTTGTCTTGAAAGATAAGTTCATTGTCTTGGAATGATATTTGGCATTCACTGGCTTTAACTAAGAAAATGCCAAGTAATGACTTTGTATCGATTTGCTCCTTGCATTTAATTTTCAATTTTTCTTCGGTGAGAAATACAGCTAAATACTGGTTAATTTCGGGAATAAATTCAATGTGATTTTCTTCAATCTGAAGCTTCGTGTATCTACATGGTTCTGTATGATCTTCTGTAATTATTGACTTCTCGCATTGGGCTTTGTGATTGGCTAATATACGATTAGGGCATTGATAGATTCTACCTTGGGTACAAATCTCGTGCAGGGGTTTGATCTCATTTCGATCAGATTTTAGCAAATACTTATAATTTGGGATAATAGTGACGAATTCTGATTTGTGCATCAGAGTCGGTATGGGTAACATATAATAAAGATCGAAATGTTCAGGATAATCTATAGGAATAGATAGAAAATAACTTATTTGATTCTGATCGATTTTACAACTGATATAAATAATAGATTCATAATCTAGCATATTTTCATACTTTACTTCAAATGGTAATTCATTTTTATAAAATGTGGATATCTTACGGAGTTCTTGAAATAATTCTCTAGTCCTTATTATACTGGGATGCATGGTTTTCAATTTGCAAAAAGTTATCGAATTTTCGATATCTTGTAAAATATTCAATATGGCATTATAAAGGATAATTAATTGATTGATAATGTCCTTCGCTGAAAGAATATCCTGGTTTGTTGTCTGGTTCAATAAAATATGTCTCAATTGTAAAATGTTATTTCTTAATGTCATCTCATTGTGCTGTATATCTTGAATAGTCCCGTTAAATTTTGCGACAAGTTCATTGTTTACTGAATATTGCATTCTCAGCTGATTTTGAATATGATGCTGATTTTCTTGTAAATGAGATAAAATTTTATCAATACGTTCTCCATCGTCGGAGTCTAAATTTCCTGTTATTGTTTTTACTACATAGCCTATGCCATTAAAAAGTCCTCTCTTATTGCGAGTCTTTTGAGAATGAGATTTAATGTATTCGGTTTTCTCTTGAATCAAGCTCCTTATATAAGATACTATCTTACTATAATTTTCTAGCTCGTTATTAATCTTAGAATGGTTTCTATAACTATAGTTAAGATTACTGTATTGAATATTCAAATCTTCATATTCCTTATATAAAGGTGATAGATCATAATAGTGCACAAAAGTATGTTTTGTCTTTTGTAGCCTAGCTGTGCCTAAATTTACTGGCAAAATTCCTAAATTGTTCGTTATGTTTCTTATTTCTGCTCCGCATCCGAAATAGATGAGGTATCTGAAATATTAGTAAATTTAAATTGATAAGTTTTCTTCCTGGGCCTTTTAATATTGGATAAATGGATATTTTTAGAAGTATTGGCATGTGTGGGATCTATCTCCGCTCTTTTTAATTTCTTATCTATACTAATTAATTTTTCTTGCTTATACTTATTTTTAGTTTTCTGTTGCTTCTGCTTATTCTTAACATATACCTTGTTAGGAATATCAGGCAAAACTTCACGTTTCTCATTTGCTTTATTTATAACTTTTTCTTTATTCTGTAATATCTTTTCATTTAAATTCCTATATACTAATTTCATTTTTTCCTTATGATTCTGTAAATAATTATTTAATAATTGCTTATCTATGTCTATATTAAAAGGTGATTCTGTATTGAAATGACCAGTAATCACTTCATAGGGTTTAAGATTGGTTACAGAATGTATTGTGTTATTATAAGCTAAAATAGCGTAATTTACCTTAGTTTCTATAGGTTCGTTCTTGTACTCTACCTGATTATTCAATAATCTTAAATGTTCTATGAGCGTTGAGTGGAAACGTTCTACGGTTCCGTTAGATTCTGGGTGCTGTGAACTAATAAAATGTATTTTGACTTTATGCAATTCTAAAAGTTCTTTGACTACTGAATTTTTTAATTCTGTGCCATTGTCGAAAATTATTTGATCTGGTATACAGTGATGTGTAAAATATCTTATAAAATTATTTGTTACCTCTACTCCATTGGCAGAGTTCAACATGTAAGCCTGACCGTACTTTGAAAATGAATCGGTCATAGTCAAAAATTTTGCATTTTATAAAGAAATAGTGTCTACGTATAAAATTTGAAATGGTTTCGTAGGCGTTGGCGTAATATTATATTCAAGTTTTAACGGGTGTCTGTCGTATTTTGTTAACTGACAGATTTCACACTCATTAATATAAGTCTGTATCGAGTTTCTTAAATTCGGCCAATAATATATTTGTTTTATTCTTTTATCAGTTTCATCGATTCCTCGATGATTGGTTTTACCTTCATGATAATTCTTGATTATATCCTTAATCTCATTTTGATCTGTAACGTCTATCAATTTCTTTGTGCATTTTACTAAATTTATTTGGGAATTTTTGAAATATGTTTGAAGAACTACGCTGAACTTTTCATAGACTGGGTCTTCAAAATATAAACAATATTTTACCTTTGGTGCAATAAATTCTTTTACAAATTTAATCGTATCTGCTTCAAAATTGTTCTTTGATAATTGAACGGATATTCGCTGTTTATTCACATGTAATCTACTAATTACTGGATCAGCTGGTTCGAGGTTTACTTCGGAAATAATAATTTGATTTTTTGCACAATTTACTGCTGTATCACTAATTGGAATATTTATCGTAGGATTTTCTATATTAGAATGAACGGTGTGTCCTGATGAATCATTTTCATTTTCATCAATTTTATCTAAATCATTGGGTTGAGGTGCGATCGAATAGTTATCGGTCTGATTGGGAATATTGGAAATATTCGATGGACCTGCTTGATTTTCAAGATTTCTATTAAATTCTTTCATGTATTGTGCCAGTGGAGTCGGTGCTCCTGTTTCATTAACATTTACTTCTATTCTAGATAAAAAGTCCGCATTTGTGTTTGATTTGCCTTTCCTGTAAACAATGTCAAAATCATGTTCTTCTAATCTTAAGCGCCATCTTAATAATTTTGAACTAGCATCTCTAACTGAAAATAACCATTGGAGGCTTTTGTGATCTGTTACAATAGTAAACTTACGTCCGAAAATATAAGGTCTGAAATATTTTACTGCATATACGATACTTAGAAGTTCTTTTTCTGTCGTGCTATACTTTGTTTCTGAATCACTTAATGTTCGTGAGGCGTACGCTATTGGTAAATCTGAGCCTAATTTACCTTGGGATAATATTGCGCCGATTGCATAATTACTTGCATCCGTAGTTATCAAGAATGGTTTGGAAAAATCCGGATATTGGAGTATCGGATCGTTTGTCAATAAAGTCTTGCATAATTCGAAACATTTTATATAATCTGCGTCATTGGGATTAATAATTGCATCTTTTTTCAATCTGATTGTCAATGGCTTAGTGATTTTCGCAAAATCTTTTATAAACTTACGGTAATAACCTAAAAGTCCAAGGAAGCCTTTAATTTGCTTCTTAGTTTTTGGTATTTTAAATTCTTTGATTGCCTTTATCTTATCGGGGTTTGGTTTCACACCATCCGCCGTTACAACATGACCTAAATACGATACTTCTTTTCTAAGAAATTCCGATTTGTCTAACTGTATTTTAAAATTTGACTGACGTAACCTTTCAAAAACTTCTCTAAGTCGAGAAATATGTTCCTGTAAACTAGTACTGAATATTATAATGTCATCTAAATATACTAAGCATTTTTCATTTTGAATACCTCTCAGTATGTTATCCATTACTCGCTGGAAAGTCGCTGGCGCGTTTTTTAGTCCAAATGGCATTCTTGTAAACTCATAGTGTCCATTTTCTGTATTAAATGCA